TGCACACCCGCTACCGGGGATGTGCCCGCAACCAATGTACATGCCCCTGACGGGAATTGAACCCTGGACCTTTCAGTCTGCAGACCGACGCTCTACCACTGAGCCAAACCGGTTTCAGGCAGGCTTGCTTTACTTTTTTAAGGAGACTTAGGCCCTCACTCCATTATTCTCGGGGATCTATACCTATTCAAAGACACCCTTCAAGACACAACTTAAGTTTTACATATCTACAAAAACTTTTACATTGTTCCACTGATGTAAATGTCTTTCTGAAACCAATCTCTCTAAGTCTCAGTGACATAAAATACATTGTTCCTATTGCTCCTCATTATGTCTTCTCCCTGGGCTTCCACTACTGGTGGTTCACTTCCTAGGGGCCAGGGAAACGTATTTGGAGCTTCCAGTGGGAGAGAACATTGTTGTGTACCTAGCAGTATCTCAGTAAGTATTTGGATTCATAGATTTTCGGTTGAGATTTGGAATTGTGGTGGCAAGGTATGGGGGGTGGGGTCATACCTGAAGGCCTATAAAACGTTTCCTTTTGCAGCTGGGGATTAATTTTGAGGAGGACAAGGGTTCCTTCTGGAGAAAGACAGGATCATTATTATCACTCTGTCAGTGGAGTAGCCCTCCATTCAATGAAGGAGATGAATTTTGCTTCGGGTTCCTCTAATTTTTCTTCTCTTGCTGTTTTCTTCTTCAGAACTAGCACTAAAATTTGCCTGAACACTTAAAAGAATTTTGTTTTTACTCCAGTCTACAAAATAAAGCTAAGAGCCAACTCACCGGGCTTCCCCAATCACTATTAAAAACAGCTCCTTCTCCCCACGTGGAAGGGAAATATGTTTCTTTTACTATTGATGAAAATTATCATCTTGTTACAATTATTAAATGTATGAACTCATTTTTACATACTAGATTGTGATGGGTTATTCCTCTGTAGGCTGTGGGAGGAAGAGACACACTGAGTAGCAGAGTTGAAAAACTTCTGTTAGATTCTTATTGAGATTCAAAATCTCACTTAGCTGTGTTTCGCAATTTGAATGAGAGCCAAAGGTTGTCTCTGAAAGGGAAATTGATCTTTGTGGAAGAACAACAGGAGGCTGGAGCTTTGAAGCCAAAGATATACGTAGCTTGCTCGGCCCTTTGGAAGGTGCAGTAAAGATGTAGACTGGCTCCAGGGAATGGTGATTGAATGGAAAAGAAGGCAAAGTGGAAAGAATGATCTACAATAATAAGAGCATAATATGCTAATTAGACTGGACCAAGTTGCATTGAGTGGAGGCATTGGCAGAGGCAGAGGCCGCTACTTGCTAGTCTTGGGATCTGGGTTGAGTCAGCAAATATCTCTGAACCTGTGCTTTCTTTATTATTATTATTATTATTTTTTTTTTTTGTAGAGGAGGTGGGAAGATCTCTAATACATATTCATCTGGGAATGCTATCATCAATTAAAAAGATAACTTGGCAGCTAAAAATGTGAACAGGAAAGAACTTAGAAGCATAAGAGAAGAAACTGAGCTTCATTCATTTTTGTAACTGGCTAGTAACAAAAGGGCCTACATTATTGGTACTCAACAAATATTTGTTGAATGACTACATCAGAAAAATGGAATGAATCAGAGAAGATGTAAACTCAGAAGAAAACACTAAGACCAGAAAGACTCTCAGACCACGCACGTAGGAAGCAGAGGAAGAAGCTCAGGATAGCAGACAGGAAATTGTCGTCTGCACCCAGAGTCCGGCCAGAGGAAAGATGGGGCAGCCAGGGTGGCCGTAGCATGGGAGTGCTGGGAGCCCAATCCTGCGGAGGACACTGGCAGGCATGGTAGAGAATTAAGATTCACAGGAGTAAAGACTACCCAAATCATCCTTAAATAGCATATCTAAGCATTGGCTTTACATTCGAGGCAGCTAGAAGGCAAGATGAGGAAGGAGGTGAGGGATCCCATGAAATTGTCATAAGGTAGAACCAGCCAGATCAGAGATTAAAGCCACGCTAACCTTCAGCAGTGAAGCAGTGGTGAAAAATGTAGTCTCTCTGAGTTATCTAGAACATGAAGACTTTAATTCTAAAAAAATAAAAATTACAGTAAAACCTTAATATAACAGACTAATTCAGGTGGGGGGAGGGGGTATCCATTAAAGCCTAAAGACCATTACATAATAAAGTAGGTTTTCCAAATACATACATATGTTAAAAAATGGACAAATTAGTTTATCATCTGTTTTCACTTATGCACACGTTTGTGTAGTTAAATTAAGTATGTACGAAAAGATTACTTTCACAAAGTTTTCTAGATGTATTGTAGTAATTTTCTTTATTTATTTAAAAATATATATGTTATTGATTTTTTACAGGAAAGAAGGGAGAGGGATAGAGAGTTAGAAACATCGAAGAGAAAGAAACATCAATCAGCTGCTTCCTGCACACCCCCTACTGGGTATATGCCCTAAACCAAGGCACATGCTCTTGACAGGAATTGAACCTGGGACCCTTGAGTCCTCAGGCTGATGCTTTATCCACTGAGCCAAACCAGTGAGGGCTGTATTGTAGTAATTTTAAATTTAGAGTGAATAAGTCTAGTAAATGTGTGCCTTCATACCCTGGGAGTAAACAAATGCAGAGTGGGGCTTAGCAAGTGTGGGCCTTTGGGTTAACACTGCTGCAGAAAGTCAGGCCACGGGACAACAGAACCAATTACCACTCCAGATGCAGTGTGATCACGTATTAGTCATTCCCAGAACACTGTTTACCAGCACTACACTTGGACTTAAATATGTAGGCTATGGTTGTAGATGTGCAATATTTTCTAAAAGTTGTTCAAAATAACAGTTCATTTATAATAAAATAATAACAAAAATGCCCTGTGAATTTAATGATAAGGAAGTCTTGGTTAAAAGCATTTTAAAATTAACAGGGTGTTAATTTTCACATATGAAATATGGACCAGAAATTTTGTCCATTAAATCCAAAGTCTGTGAATTCGAGGTTCACTAAATCAAGGGTTTACTGTGCCTATTTTTATAACTGTTTTTAAGATTAAATAAGTAAATATATGAAAAAGACCTAAAACGTGTCTAATGTGATTTTTAAAATTGTGATCATTATTATTGTTTTGTTGTTACTACAGCTTTTATGCCCAATAAGGTGTGAGTCAACCAACTGAAACTCTATCTTGACTTCAGTCCAAGAACTTGGAATTTGTAAACTGCCTCTTTATCTGGCTTTTCTTCTATGTGTGCTTTTTTCTTCCTTGATTTTAAAGTTGCCGCTCCCCCAATTCTAACTTTGTCTTAGCAGCAGTGAGAAAAGGGCCTTTCTACAATACACTCAGCCTGGGATGGTGGTGGGGAAGGGTGTTTAGTGGCAAGCGTGATTGCAGTTTGGCCAGCTAAGGCCAGGGGCTCAGATTTCAGAGAAGCAGGAGAACGGAGCAGGGCCTGGGGAAGAGCAGGCATGGCTGAAGTTTCCCTTATAGGACTGCATGTAAGAGAAGGACCAGACCACATTCAAATGCAATTAGCCACCTTCTAGTAAGAGCTGATGTCCCCCTGAAAGTGTGTGTTCATAATACTTTATTTGAATGTATTAGTACAATAGGACTTGTGTTTCCTAACGGCTACTTACGACAAGTACTATTTGGAAGTTACGTACCTTTCACAGTAAACAGTTAGATGTAATGTCAAAACTTTCCAATGGAGTAGATTAATGCAAAAAATCAATGTAAGATTTGTTATGAAAATAATATTTAAATATAATTTGACAATTAAATAATATGGTTTATCTCTGCCACAACAAGTTTTCTAAGAAATGTAATCCTGGTGAAATGTGTTAAACTGTTCAGCAAAGGTTTTAGCTGGTTTTGAAGTTCCCTTTGCCAACAAGTTCGTTGCACCAGGCCAGTGCCAACAGGTGTCCGCAGTCTGGCGTGCAGTGTGAGAACTAGAGAAACTCACCTCCACCGCGGGAAAGGCAGTTCTACGCCTTCCCGGGGGATACCCAGTTTCAGGTGGAAACCCTGGGAAGACCTCTGTGCCCTGGTCCCTACTGGGTCCACTTTTATGCAAATGAGAATCTATATTTGCAACTGGATAGGTCTAGGTAGCACTGTCCTGATTGGTCAGAACTGCACATCGTGACTGGTCTTTCCAGAGCCACTCTGAGTGACCAGGGAAGATGCACATATGAGCTAGGGCTGAAGGGGCAGCACCTTAGGAGAGCCCTCTGCAAACTGCCTGCTAGATCTCATTATTCTAATTGGGCCCAGTTAACCACAAGGAGTCCGTTTTGGCAGGCACAGTCCTTCTAGGAAGTCTACACCTTCATTCCCAGTTGGTTATGACCAACAGCAACAGGCCTCATTCCTCAGGTGTAGGTCAGTGACCCCTATAACTTAGCGTGCGTGCTACCCCATGATGGTGCGGCCAGCAGGCTCCCTGAACTCGGGGTGCTCAAATGGAGGGTCAGATTCAGGTGAGGGAGCTGTTTTCAAGTGCTCCCTCCCTAAACCTCAGCTCTGCGTCCCGCACAGGAAGTGGTTATCTTAGGAAAAGGTGGCTCAGTTCAGAACGCCGTGTTAGCTCTCCCGGTCACCAAACCCCTGCGCCCACAAGGCGGAAACTGGAGAGGGTGCCGCCGCGTGCGGGACGTGCGTCTGGCTCGCTTGTGGGTGCACCAGACCTCAGGGGGGGGGCGGCGGGGACGGGAACTGCACGGGCGGCGGGGAGCCCATGCGGCGCCCAGATCGTGGGGACGGGAGGACAAGCTGTGCGGGCCACAGGGCTGGAGCCGAACAAAGGCAGAGCTGGGCGGCGGAAAGCCCGCCGCGGGGTCAGGTTTACGGCCGAATCGCCGGGGCCCGCCAGCCAGCCCGCGGGAAGCAGCACGGCGGCAGCGGCGGCGGCGGGAGGTGCAGGAGGTGCTCCCAAAGCCCCGCCCTCCTCCAAGCCCCGCCCTCCTCCAAGCCCCCGCCCCCAGCGCCAGCCAATGGGGGCCCGGGATGTTAGCGGGTGGGAGGCGCGGCCGCGTTGCTACAGCGAGAGCCGGGAGCTGGGCGGCGGCGGGCGCTGCCCGCGGAGTGTCCAGGAGCCTGCGGCGGCGGCGGCGGCGCGATGGAGGCACCGGAAGGTGAGGGGTGCGGGGTGCGGGGGCGCGGGCCGGGCGGCTGGGCGGGCCCCGAACAGTTGCGGGTCCTGAATACTGGTACTGAGGAGGCGGGGTCCGGTCCGGAGCGGACCCCGCGGTGCCCCCGCAGGCCTGGGCGGGCGGGCGGGCGGGAGCCCGGGAGCCCCCGCCGCGGTGGGACTGGTGACCTTCAGGCTCCCCCCTCGTAGGGCCTTCCGTCGAGGTTTCCCACCCGGAGCCCGGTTTGCCGCCGGCACACGCCTGCGAGTCCCTTCCGACCATTTTCTGGTCTCGCCTGAGTCCCGCTGTCCTGTGGGCGAGCACAGCCTCCGGCCAGATTCCCTTTTCCTTGCAAAGGGGACCCTCGGTGCAGCCACGGCCTCCCCGCCCCCGGCGTTGGCTGGGGCGCTGGGGCGGGTCTGTCTCCCTCCCGAGCTTCTGGCACTCCCCTCTGCCGGCGGTCCTAGGGCACCGCTTTCCCATCGCCACAGCATCTTCCCCGGGAAGGATGCCAAGAGCATCTTCCAAGGAAGTGTCACCGGCCAGCCTTAGAGCCGGGACAATGGATGAACAGGAGGAGTTCAGGGTTTATTCACCATGACGCGACTCCTACAGAAGAGCCAACATTGATTCCTTGTCTTTGGGCTTATTCCTCGTGCTGTGACCATGATTCCAGATTTTCCTTTGTTTCCATTTCTTTCCCTTTCCCCCCACCTCTATTCATTTTACCCTTTTTATCTTCTGTAATACAGCATTTGCCTAACAACAACAAAGGAGAAAAATACCCAACTGGCATTGGCAACAACAGTTTCAAGACCCGTTTTCAAATTGTGGTTAATCCTTCTGATGAAGTATAAATTAGCCTGGGGAATTGAAAGATTCATAGTAATGACCTGAAGGATGATAATCAAGAATTCTGATAAATGTCTGTTTGTGGGCAGCTGTAGTGTATAACACAGGAAGGTCTTGTTCTTTGCTTATTTAAGTCATGGTAGGCATTCAAGTTTCTATGAAATAAAAATTACAGTGATGATACTTACTTTTAAGACACTTTTGTTTAGAGGACTCCAAGGACAGTTTAAAAAAATAACTTTAAAAGGTAGGTAATATTATAGTGTAGTAAGAACTTGGGTTCTGGGATTCTCACAAGGTTATCATAATATGCATAAAAGTGCCTAGGACAATTTCTCTACAGATTTTTATTTTGAATAACATTTATGTTGAATAACATTTGTAATTCAGGCAAAGATCTTCATTTGATTTTTCACTTATATGTGCCAGGCACATAAGACAGTGTCTGGAACAAAGGAGGTAACTCATTGAATAGTTGTTAGATAAGTGACTGTCTATGATAGCACTATTTTAGACCCTGAGATGTAGCCCATCTCAAAAAAAAAAAAAAAAAATCAAAACCCTGCTCTTTTTGAGCCTACATTTTAGTGGATTTTATATATATATATATATATATATATATATATATATATATATATATATATATATATTAGAGATAGCATTTTAAAAATATGTTTTTATTGATTTCAGAGGGCAGGGAGAGGGAAGAGAGATGGAAATATCATTGATGAGAGAGAATCATTAATCCGTTGCCTCCTGCACGCTTCCCACAGGTGATGGAGCCCTGACTGGGAATCAAGCCATGACTTCCTGGTTCATAGGTTGATGCTTAATCACTGAGCACACCAGCCAGGCAAACTTTATATTTTACAGTGCCAAGACATTACTATTGAAATCTTACTAATGAAGCTTTTAAAATATAATGAAAACTTATAATTCTCAATTACATGGGTGGAGAAATACATGAATTCTGATGCAATATATATAGTAGTATATTATGGGCTCAAGTTTGATGCCACATATTAAATAGCATTTGCTCTTTACTCTTCATTTGATGTTTTTGTTCTTTTCATAGGGCAAAACAATTGAATACTCTTTATTTCAAATGGTTTAAACTAATAAGTTGAAGTTACGACAGTGCCTTTTTTTTCTTCTTTTTTTAAAAAAAAATCAGTCCCTTTTAAGTCACACTTTGCAAAGATCAAAACTTTTAGTCTTAAGGTTACCACTATGTCTTCATTTAACAAATATTGATAATTGCCAGATAATTTTTTTGCTGTATTGGAAGTTAATGTCTAGCACCTTGGAACTATCTAATAAGTATATTGCCATATCCAGCAGAAAATCTTAGGAGTTTGCTTAACATATCATAGTAATTGAGCAAATATTGCACTGTTGGCATTAGACCAATGTTTCTAGTTGAAATCAGTTACCAGGCTAATCTTGATGGTATAACCAGAAAATATATGGACCCCTGAAAAATTTAGTTGTCATATTCTTATAATTTTTTTTGCATGTGCATCTTTATCACATATTATTTTTTTGTTTTCCTGGACCTTTATGTTTCTGGGAGTGTCAAGAGATGAGCTATTGTGAACACTGTATTTCAAAACCGAATACCGATGTTTTCTCATGATTTTTTATAAATGTATCTGAGCACTTTTGTATTGTGTGGATAATTAGAGCAAATCCTTTACTACTTCTTTACCTAAATCTTGTCACCTGTAGGCATATCTAAGGGCAAAGAGATAGTTCCAATTTCTCATCAGCTTTTCATCTGCAAAGTGGACAGATGATCAACCCTAAGCAGATTTTACCCATATACTAGTGGCCCGGTGCATGAATAAAGATTCATGCAAGAATGGGCCTTCATTCCCCTGGCTGTTGACACCACCTTCGCGCTGGCCTGAGCAACCTTTCCTCAGGGCCAGGGCCGCCTTTCTGCCTTCCCACGCTGCCTAGAGGCCTGGAGCAGCTGGGGTGGTGCAGAACACCTGTGTCATCACCGTGGTGACAACACAAGCATCCTGCCCCATCCCCGGCCATTCATGTAAATTGCCTGTGTATGTAAATTAACCCACCTTCTTTGTTTGGCTGGTGGGTGTTGCGAAGGTAGGGTCAATTAGCATGTTGCTCTCTTATTAGGTAGATACAGCATTGTCATTCCTTTCATAACACCTTGATAAGAGGTTATTAACAACTAGAGGCCCGGTGCATGAATTTGTGCACCCATGGGGTCCCTCAGCCCTGCCTGTAGGGTCAGGCTAAAACTGGCTACCTGACATCACCTGAGGAGTCCTGGATTGTGAGGGGGCACGATTGGGGCCAGGGAGGGACTGAGAGAGGGCTCCAGGGCATGTCCGGCCTCGTCTTGCCCAGTCCCTATGGGGCTGATTAGGGTTGGCTGGCTGGGGAGGAACGTGGGAAGTTGGCCAGCTAGGGAGGGATTGCAGGAGGTGTTCAGCCTGTCATGTCATTAGCATATTATTACACTTATTATTGGTTGAATGGTTGACAGGACACTTAGCATATTAGGCTTTTATTATATAGGATTGTGCCAGAGACCAGGCTGCCCTCCTCTTTTGGACTGCTGAAGGTAGTAGATCTTGGTGTACTGTCTCAGAAACTTGATGAGTAGTCTGATTGTTCTTCTCCAGTGAAGCCTAGTGGAAGACAGCCATCCTGTCTCATCAGAGTTCTTTTTTGTTTTGTTTCTCCCTAGTCTAAACACACATTAGTTTACTGACTTATTCTTACCTTTAGTAACATATCTAGCATTCTTTGTTTTTTGGTACTCAGTTGGATGCTAGGTATTTTAGTAACCAATGTGTTGGAGAGGACTGTGTTTGGATCCCTAGCTTTGTTTCTTTTCTCTCTTTCTTTTTAAAAAAATATATCTTATTGATTTTTTACAGAAAGAAAGGGATAGAAATAGAGAGTTAGAAACATTGACGAGAGAGAGTCATCGATCAGCTGCCTCTTGCACACCCCCTACTGGGGATATGCCTGCAACCAAGGCACATGCCCTTGGCCAGAATCGAACCCGGGACCCTTCAGTCCCCAAGCTGACGCTCTATCCATTGAGCCAAACCGGTTTCGGCCCTAGCTTTGTTTCTTCCTAGCTCTATGATTTGTACCAATTAATCTGAACCTCATTTTCATTAGGTATATAAAAAAAATGGAGTTATTAAAAGCCAATCTGCCTGAAGTATATTAATTATTAAATGACATAATATATACAAAGCATTTAGCGAAGTGCCTACTACATAGGCCCCCTCAGCACTTGTTTATTGGGTGGACAAAACCTCAGGAGTGTGTTAGGTGTTGTTCAGTATAGCTAAAACAGGGCGCTTGGAAGTTATTGGGGCAATCCCACTAGATAACCAGTAGGAGAATAGTAGGAGAAGGGACAGGCTGAAAATACATATGTGATGAGAATTTGAATAAGAAAAAAGTAGCAGGAATTAAAAAAGATAGACTAGAAGACATTTCTGAGCTGAAAAGATGAGCTATGACTGCTGGATGTGAGAGGGAACAGGAATCAAAGATAAAGCAGCTTTCTAGCTTGGACTAAGAATTAGTAGAACTATCTTTAACCAAGAAGGAGGCCAAGTTTGGAAGATGAGGTAATGAGTTTATGGCTTTTCAAATGTTGTACTTGTGCAATACTTTGGGGATATCTGGTGGAAAAGTCTCATAGGTATTTAAGCATCTCTCTGAAGTTTTTAGTTCAGTAGTCATCAGCATAGAAAAGATAGCAAATGGATGCATTCACCCGGGAAAGCTATATTTAACGAGATGAAGAAAGAAACTTGGGCAGAACAGATGCTGTAGGTTTGAGCAGGAAGGGAAATTGGAGAGGTTTAAACATTGTTAAGAAAGGGCAATAGGGGAGAAACTACCCTGTTTCCCTGAAAATAAGACAGTGTCTTATATTAATTTTCCCCCCCAAAGTTGCGCTAGGTCTTATTTTCAGGGGATGTCTTATCTTTCCATGCGCTAGGTCTTATTTTCGGAGGATGTCTTATTTTCGGGGAAACACGGTAATACTCGTTATGTGCCAGAAAAAAGCCTGTAACTCCTGATATTCCTTGAGGTCTAAGTACTGACCAGCTCAAAAACTGCTTAGCTTCAGATCTGAAAAACGTGGGCTTAAAAGAGACGTACATTGGAGCCAAGAAAGAAATGACATTAAAGACAAGGTGGAAGGGTCAGTCAGCAGTGCCTAATGTTATAGAAAGGTCTGGTAGGATGAGGATTCAAAAGGGGCCTTTGAACTTGACAATTACTAGATGAATGCTGTTTTTTAAGGTCTCTACTCTAATGTCTCTTATTGAAACAGCTTTCCCTGATCCTACTCTCTTCCTAAGCACACATACACTTAGCATCATGAGTGTCCTTCTTTTGCTCTATTTTTTAAAATATATTTTTATTGATTTCAGAGAGGAAGGGAGAGGCAGAGAGAGAGAGAAATATCATTGATGAGAGAGAATCATTGATTGGCTGCCTTCTGCACTCCCCACATTGGGGATTGAGCCCACAACCCAGGCCTGTGCTCTGACTGGGAGTCGAACCTGGGACCTGTCAGTCTGCATGCAGGTCAACACTCTATCCACCAAGCCAAACCAGCTAGGGCTGCTTTATTAGTATTTTTTCTATGTTGTACTTATCCCCACCTTACATTTCATACATTTAATTGTTTTCATTTATGTTTTTCTATTAGAAGAGTAGAAGCTTCATGAAATCTGGGTCTTCTTTTCCCCCCCATCACCGTTTGCCAACCGCCTAGAACAGTTCCCACCTTATAGGTGCTCAATAAGTATGTCCTGTTGAATCAACAAATGATCTATTTTAATACAGTGATTAGACCTAATAAAGTTAGGTAGGAAGTGAATGAGAGGTAGTAAGGAGGAACAGGTCAGTAAATGTGTTTCCAGAAATGTGCTGCTCTGGACATTGGTCCTAAATAGCCCTGGGAGATATTTCAGAGGGGAAAAATGATTTCTGTTGGGGAAATAACAGCATACTAAATCCTTTTAGGCTGAGAAAGTTCTGTTCTAAGAAAACCCATTTGTTTTATCTAGAATTTTCCAAACATTAGACCATGGAGCAAGGAATATGAGGGTGATTGGTCAAAGTGGTGGACATGACTGACTAATCAGGTTCAGACTCGTTAGAAAGGCACATGCAGCCCAAGTCAGGTTCTCAAGAACATGTAAGTTACTTTGAGATGGAGAAAGTGTTTCAGAGAGCAGTAGGTCTGTGATTGGAGGGAGCTTGAGTATTTTGAGAGTCCAGAGGAGGACCCTTGGTGCTTTTGCTGAAAGGAATGGAGGTGAAGGTTATGTGTTGAGTAGGTTATGAGAGAATATGAAATCTAGGATGAGCTGAAAAAGGGAAATCCTGTGAGGTAGTAAAGATTGTCGAACTGGAAGTAGTAATACAGAAGTTTGTAACAAAGTTGATATAACAGATGCCCTGGCCTCAAAGAGGGGTGGCTTGTTGAGTTTTAAAGGCTGGAGTCAGAGGGTGAAGAAGCAGACATGCCGCAGAGACCAGCACTGTTCTTCGTGTCCAGGACTTCTTTTCTCCTGCAAATGCTCTCTCCTGGTTTTAAAATTTATACATCTTAGAATTTCAAAACTATTTTAGATAACAGCATATTCTTTCACATCTCCTATATAACATATAAAGATACCATTTCAAACCTTACTATCATGCATGTTTTGAAGTTGCTTAGTAAAGCAACTCAGAATCAGTAATGTGTGTAGGATCAATTTTGTAAGGCGAGGTTGGCTTCTTAAGTGTTTTAGAATATTAAAGTACTTTATATGCTTGGCTCTGTCCATCAGTTTGAGTGCCTTTTTTGTACACTGTTAGCTCTCTGCTCTAATAATCCTGAAGGTTATCTTTACTGTATTTTTACAAGCTGTAAAATTTGCTAGCTTTTGTTATTTAAGAGAGACTAGTGGAGTTTGCTTGGAGTAGTATTTTTTTATTTCATTGATTGTGAAGCATTTTTATATGTAACAACTCAGTTGATCCTCTTTAAACTTTAAAGTAGATTGAACAGGTATTATATCCTAATTAAACTGAGGCTGCCTGTATGATTAATACCTTATAAGGTTATTCCCTAAGACCAGCTAATATAAGGAAATTATAAATTTATGTCTTTATTTTGAATGAAGTAATTCTATTTTTTCTTTTTTGAGATAATTGTTTTAAGTTCTTTTTCTTTAATGCTATAGCTTTTTAAAAAATTTCTTTTAGTGATAATAATTTTCTTTTTCTTTAATAACAATTTGAACATGTTTGATAATTTGTAAGAATTAATTCCAGGAGTTGGATTTTATTATATTGTAGTTTTCTGGTTGTTGTTAAGCTTTAAGTTTTTGAATTTAAAAAAAAGAACATGATTTGGTGTTTAGACATACGAGGACATTAAGTCGTGTGGACTGTTAGCTTTGAGGGAGCAGTGAGGCTGCCATTCCAGCCTGTGTCACTAGGACGTGGTACTGAGGAGGCACATCATTTCCAGATGTTGAATTGGTATTTCTCAATAATTAGTTTTTATAAGATTTTGCTTTGCCATTTATTCAACAAGCAGATACTGAAATGCACTTTGAAGCAAGTAAAATATGTGACACTTTTTAACATTTAGGTTTTATGAATTTTAAAGTCATTACTTAGAATTTAAAAGAATGCATGAAAACCATAAATAAGCAAGCTAAAGAGATTAATGCAGCATATGGTATCATTTTGACCCTCATTGTGAAGACATTTTTATTTTAATATACCTAATGTATTTTATCTGGCACCCTGAATGAATTAAGTGATCCAGATAAATGGGGTTGCTTTCCCTAAATAACCTGGCTTCTGGTATTGGAGAAGGACAAATCAGGCAGACCTTAGCTTTGCTTTTGTGTTGTCCACTGCTTACCTGCCACCATAGACATTGCCTCTATCTGAGGTGACAGATAGTCACTATCTGCTACTAAAATAGGGCAGTGGACTGTGAGGAGAAGAGAGAAAAAACCAGTTCCTCTGTCACTGTTTGATTGTGTTCCCACCAATGTCTCTTGATTCTCCTGATTCATTTTCGTGAACCCACTAAGTAAGTCATATGAAGAACAAATTATATGAGTTCATAATTGTACTTTATGCACGAGTTTATTTATGTTACTTCTTTGTCTTATATAATATATGACTAGTGGCCTGGTGCACAAATTTGTGAACATCGAAAGGAAATTAATTAGAAGAAATATTTTAATATCGCTATTTGCCCTTCTCTATAATAAAAGTGTCAATCAAATCCACAATTGACAATGATAGGTTGCAACACACATGTGCAATAGATGCCAGTGAGCGCTTTATATGTATTGCACATGTGCGAGTCAACTTAGCCTTTTATAGATATATATATATATAGATACAGAATAAACTTGCTTAATTAGACCTGCTTTCTGATTTAGCTCAACTTTTTCCAGCCCAGGGAAGCATCACCCCAACTTCTCTTTCAGGTAATTGTCAGCAACACAGCAGGGAATATCAACACGAAGCACATTATTACTGTAGATCATGCAAGGAGAACAAAGGGTAAAATATCTAACTGCAGTAGTTTGACTATATTCTACACAGTGGGAAAACCTGAAGTAATTTTCAAAGTCCACCATTTCTTCTTATTAGTCGAGTCAAGTTTCTAAGCTTTCTAAATCTCCATCTTCCGGAAAATAGAATTCCACCGAGTCTCCTATCTACCTATTCCAGGACTTTTGTGAGGATCAAATGAGATGAGGCATGGGAAAATGCTTCACAGACATTAGGTTACAGTGTAAAATGTTTCCACCTGGCTATAAAGCAAGTAGTGTTCCTGGGCTGAAGAAACTCCAAGGTGGCTAGTTACTAGGGAGAGGAAGCTGGGTGTTGCTACATGACATCATTACGGTACCTGGATGGACTTAGCATTAGCCTTTTTATACAAATAGGTAAAAAAATTATAATAATTAATGCAATATCCATCAGAAAATATGGTAAAGATATAGGTTTAAGTATTTTTAGAAAATTAGAGTTATGGAAATAAATTTAGATTTGATATTTTGAAAGATAATAAAAATGACAAATTGACTCAGTTATGTAAAATTCCAAAGAATGTAGTTTCTGTTATCATTTTCATATCAAAATTTTTTGCATAAAGTACATGATATATGTATTAATTTTTTTAAATCCTCACCTGAGGAGATTTTTTAAAATTGATTTTAGAGAGAGTGGAAGGGAGAGAAAGTGAGAAAATTGATGTGAGAGAAATATCGATTGATTGCCTCCCACATGTACCCCAACAGGGGGTCTAACTGTAACCCAGGTATGTGCCCTGACTGGGAATCAAACCTACAACCTTTTGGTGTATGGAATGGGACAACACTCCAACCAGCCAGGGCTGTATTAATTTTTGATTGAGCAGAAGTTGCAGCAACTTCTGTCTTCTTAATCAGTTTATGCCCATAACATCAGATTATCTCAACTTGTTAGACCATTGAATTTTAATAAATGTGTAAAATAATGAAAAATTCACATAATATGCCTATTTGCATAGTAACTAGGTGATCTTTTCCTTAAAGCATTATACTTCCTAAGTGTTAAACAGAACAAATTTCTTTTTATCCTAGATTATCTCAGAAAACCAGATCATTGATCACCAATGTTGTTTCTGAATGCTTTGGAGATTAATACTATATAATTTAACCTTCAAATAAATTTGACTTTTAAAGTTGAATCATTTACAATGGAGCTATCCTATAAATTAAGAGATTATGATAAATTGATTTGGTTAAAAATCAGATACTTCCAACATATCAGTTTGGTAATCTTTAAATCAGGACTTGGCATGGCCTTATTGACCTCTGATAAACTCTTAAGTCTGGTGCTCATTTTAATTGACAATGTTGCTTATTTAAAATGAAACAAGACATTTTTTTTCACAAGAACTGATAACTTATATATGAAGCTAAAAGAAGACATTAAAACTTGGAAGCTTCACAATTTGAACATAAAATACTATTGAGTAAATTCTTTTCTGTTTTAGAAAATGGGAGTGCTCAAGTTGGAGAATTATTACCTTGCAAGATTTGTGGACGGACATTTTTTCCAGTGGCATTAGTGAGTACCCTCTTCCTTTGGGATGTGACAGATCAGAGTCGTTCAGTACTTTTGGACATATCTCCTAGAAACAGTGGAATAATTGGATGAGGTCCTGGCTGGTGTTCTTTGTTCAAGAATAGAAGTTCCTTCTATGTCTTCTCGTCCCTTCAGAGTTTAATTGGTCTTCAGAACTTCTCTATTAAAGTATTGAAGTGTTCCTCCTCTCTTTGTGGGGATATTAATATTAGGTCTAGTAATAATTAATGTCGTTTTAAAACATTCATTTAAAATCTTGCTTGGCGTTGACTTGTATTGACATAACCTTCAAACACGTGGTATCTACAGAACGTGTGAAGTGCAATTAACAAGTTTTGCTTGAAAAAGTTTGTGTTTGGTTTGGTTTTTGTTGCAAAACTAGGGCTAAGAAGATGGCGGATGAAGAGCATATTCGGCACTGCATGCTTTACGAGTTCCAATTAGGAAGAAAAGCAAGTGAGGCTGCAAAAATCATCTGTAGTGCTCTTGGTCAAGATGCAGTTAGCGCCAGAAAATGCCAGCGTTGGTTTGAGAAATTTCGCGAGGGAAATTTTTCGTTAGATGACAAGAGTGGTCGAGGCCGTGTGTCCAATTTTGATCAAGAAGCTCTTCAAGCTCTTTTGGTGCAAAATCCTCAAATTACCCAACAAGAGCTTGCGACAACTTTAAATTGTTCACAAAAAACAATTTCCAATCAATTGTGTGCACTTGGCAAAGCCCAAAAGTTTGGAAAATGGGTTCCTCATGAGTTGACCGACAACAACCGTAATCAAAGAGTCACAATTTGCAGTTCGCTCCTCTCTCGTCAAAACCGTTTGCCGTTTTTAGAGCAAATTGTTACCGGAGATGAAAAATGGGTGCTGTATGTTAATTTGAAAAGGCGGCCTCAATGGTTGGACAAAAATGAGGCTCCGCAGCCCACGCCAAAACCTGACTTGCATGCGAAAAAAGTGATGTTGTGTGTTTGGTGGAATTTTAAAGGAATTCTTCATTATGAACTTTTACCATCTACCCAAACCATTACAATTGCAGTGTATAGTGCCCAATTGGAAAGGTTAGCCCAAGCTTTAAGAGAAAAAGAACCCGCGCTGATTAATCGGAAGGGCGTAATTCTTCACCACGATAACGCACGACCGCATACTGCAAGAATCACTGCTGAAAAACTGCGCCAGTTGGAATGGGAAGTTCTCCCTCAACCTGCATATTCTCCTGATATTGCCCCTTCCGATTACCATTTGTTTCGTTCTTTGCAAAACTTTCTTCTTGGAAAAAAATTTAATAATGAAGAATGCCTCAAAAATGCATTGACCGAATTTTTTGCATCAAAATCACAAGAATTTTACAACAGAGGGATTTAAATGAGCGTTGGGCACAAGTAATAGAAAACAACAGCAACTATATTGTTGATTAAATTTTGTTGTATTGTTTAAATAAATTTGATTTAAAAAGTATTAGAAAACGACATTAATTATTACTAGACCTAATAGAAATAAAACAGAAAACTCTTAGAAATGCATAATGTATTTAAAGGTATAGAATGACACAGTGTCTGGATTTGCTTTAAACTACTTCAGAAAAAGAGCTGGATAAATGGAACAAGATTGCTAAAGGCTTTGTAATTGTTGAAGGGGGTGATGAGTAAAAGGGGAGTTCATTACACTGTTTTCTCAGTGGTTCTGTATGTTTGAAATAGTCAAAAGAAAATCGTTTTCAATTAAAAGTGTACCCAAACTACATGACACATTCTTTAGATACTTAGTACATACAAATAAAAGCAATTTTAACTGATTTTAATATACAGTAGACATCTAAATAGAGAATGAGAAAAATATGCCTATGTAGTAACTTAGATATTTTCTTGTACTTTCAAATATAAATATACATCTACTAATATTTTGATGTAAAGACTTTTCTTTGAATATGGATCTGATTAGAATTCTACCATATTAGCATTTTCCATCCTCTTAATATTTCCAATTTGTTTCTTTTAAGCAAAGTGAGAAATTAATCTATAAATGTCAGTCGGACTACAGACTCCTCTTACATGACAACTTTTCTTATTTCATTAAAATTGGCTTTCCTGCCCTAGCTGGTTTGGTTTAGTGGATAGAGCTTTGTCCTGTGGACTGAAGGGTCCCAGGTTCAATTCCAGTCAAGGGCACCTGCGTGAGTTGCAGGCTCAATCCCCAGTTGGGGGGCATGCAGGAAGCAGCTGATCAGTGATTCCCTCTCATCATTTGATGTTTCTCTCTCCCCCCCCTCCTTCCTCTCTGAAATCAATTTAAAAATGTATAAATAAAATTTGCTTTCTTACACTTAATTCAGTGATTTTTAAAAATCAGTTCACTATTTTTCATATAATTTTCAAAGTATTCACCTGAGTTTCCATAGGAAAAAAGTTTTTTTTTTTTGCCCTCATTTATTTATGTAATATATTTAATTAGATGATATGATCACTGTAATAGCTATAGCTGGTATATATCTCAGTTTTGGGACTAACACTACATACTTTAAAAAAATATATATATTTTATTGATTTTTCACAGAGAGGAAGAGAGAGGGATAGAGAGTTAGAAACATCGATGAGAGAGAATCATCGATCAGCTGCCTCTTGCACACCCCCTACTGGGGATGTGCCTGCAACCAAGGTACATGCCCTTGACCAGAATCAAACCCGGGACCTTTCAGTCTGCAGGCCGATGCTCTATCCACTGAGCCAAACTGGTTTCGGCACACTACATACTTTTGACATAGACAACTGAACATGTGAAAGATGTTTTAAGTCGCCTGCTAGCCATACTTTTTATTTTTATTTATTTTTATTGATTTCAGAGAGGAAGAGAGAGGAAGAGAAAGATAGAAACATCAATAATAAGAGAGAATAATTGATCGGTTGCCTCCTGCAAGCTCCACACCAGAGATCAAGCCCACAACCTGGGCATGTGCCCCTGACTGGAATCGAAACCGGCTAGGGCTAGCCATACTTAATACTTAAAATATTTTATTCTAACTGCTATAATTACAGTGCTTGTTTGTCAAATGAAAATAAGTATGTACAATGGATTACTAATTGTGTGTTGAAAAATATGAGAGGTTCCAGGACTCTGAGCCAACCAGTTGGGAGGTTTCCTCTTATTTGAACAGTTCAAGCTGTTCAGTTAGTGTTTATCAAATACAAAAAGGAAAAAAGTTCATTTAATGCACTGATGTCATCAGTCCACATGTTTTATTTCATGGGGGGAGAAGGATTATTTATCCAGTAGGTTAATTGGATATGAGTTAAGAAAGCTTCCATTGCAATGCTCTTAAAATGAATAAATATGTAAATAATTGAATGAATGAGTTTGCAGTCATGTTAAGAAAAATATCTGTAGGAATGGAGCACTGGAAAACTCAAGAAAAATCCTGGGTAAAGAATGGCAGACTATGTAAGTTCTGGAAGGGAAAAAAGGGATAATTTTTTAATGGCAGACTATGTGGAAGAAGGATGCAGGGACACAAATCTGACAACTTTGTCCTATTATTTCATGTCAGCTTTAGTAATCCGAACTACCTCTATAATAGCAACTTTGTAACCCTAATACAAATGCATTCTCCACATATACTTTTTTTTAGTATTTATTTTTAGGTATTTAATGATGAAAATAACTTTTTCCCCACTCAACTAGCTTTGACTTAGTAACATTATTACCCTTATTCTTAGCAGTGTGAAACTAGGAGAATATTAAATAACTCAATAAAATGTTGAAAGAGTTTTTATCTATACCTTCTATGGTAAGAAAGATAACTAATAGCATGCATTACATATGCTTTATAACAATTTTAGTCAAAACAAGGTATGTCTTATTTATGTATTACTTATTGCTTATTTCATCTTCAGTTTTTGGACTGATAATTTAAAGTCTTCCCTTCTGTATAAATGAAAATGATACATTGCGTTTCTTTATCTTAACAGAAAAAACATGGACCCATTTGCCAGAAAACTGCCACTAAAAAACGGAAGACTTTTGATTCGAGCAGACAGAGAGCTGAAGGAACTGATATTCCAACAGTAAAACCTCTAAAACCTAGGGTAATTGTATAATCTTTGAACAGTATGAACCTTGTTGCTATATATATTATCCTTATCTGTTATACTAATCTATAATAATAAAAGCATAATATGCTAATTAGACTGGACAGCGAATGACCTTCCGTATGTCATTCCAGATGTCCTTCCAGACGAAGCCACCATGGTGGGGGCGGAAGCAGAGATGGTCAGGGGCGATCAGGCAGGCAGGCAGAGTGGTTAGGGGCGATCAGGCAGGCAGGCAGAGTGGTTAGGGGCATCATGTAGGAGGTGAGTGGTTAGGGGTGATCAGATAGGGAGTCGAGTGGTTAGGAGCCAGTGATCCTGGATTATGAGAGGGATCCCTGAGGATCGGGCCTAAGCCAGCAGTTGGACATCCCCTGAAGGATCCTAGATTGCAAGAGGGTGCAGGCTGGGCTGAGGGACCCCACCCCCATGCATGAATTTCGTGCACCAGGCCTCTAGTATTGAATAATAACCAAAATTTTGTGTACTGTTCTCTGTTTAGAAATGATCACAAACTTATTTATTTTAGACTTTGGAAAGAAGGAAGCCAAACTACTTCTCAACTCCCACTATTACAAGGAGGTTTTTCTAGCATTGGAGGATCACTTGCTTAGCTGTATAGGCTGGAAATAATTAAAAGCCCTCTTACATGTTCCTTTTAAGTCATTGTTAATTACTTCGGCTATACTTTAATGTGTTAAAGTCTCTCTTACTAGTAGAGCAATCCCTGTATACAAAGGTAAAACTATAATTTATAGACATCTTAGCATACTAGAGATTGATTATCTTGATTGATAGTTTGTCAATATTTGTGGTCTTATTATGCTTTCTGGGAAAAACTTATCAGTTGTTCAACTGTCCTCACATAGCCATTGACAGCTTTTCTTTCTTGCTATCAAAGCAATGAGTCTCCTATGATAATGACGCTTTAATATCACTGTGATACTTTATATTGCTAAGAATAAGTCACAAATACTTTGACAAAGTTTTAAAGAGTAATTTCAGTGAAATAGTTAAAATTTGAATACCTCATTGAATAAGTTTTTGAAACAACCTTGCTTTCAGTGGTAATAACTTCTCCCATTGGTGCAAAAAACATTTTGGAATCTCGGAGGGTAGTCGGAGGAGGATGGGTGGGTGGGAGATAATCAACCAAAGACTTTGTATGCATATATGCATAACCCATGGACACAGACAATAGGCTGGTGAAGATCTGGGATGGGGGTTGGGGACAGGTTGGAGGGGATCAATGTGGGGGTGGGGTGGGAAGGGAACATCTGTAATACTTTCAACAATAAAGATTTCAAATGAAACAAACCTCTTCCCTGTGGGCCAATTAATCTTACTGATAAAATCATTTGGGTAGTAGAAAAAAATGGAATGTCCATTTTTGTATTTTTATCCATTTATCCAAGGGAATATTGGTGAATTTTGAATAAGGTAAACCATTATTTGAAGTTTTTCTTAGTCACCGTCCAGATATATGATTGCATTTGCTTTAATTAGCTTTGAAGAGAAACTATTGAAATCTCTGGGAGCAGTATAACATAGAGGGTATAAAAAAGGGCTCCGGAGTCAGTCTGCCTGATTTTAACTCTGGTCTGCTACTTAGCATGTTGTGTTGAGTGAATTACTTAATTCATACTTCTACTTATCTGTAAAATGGTAGTAGGAGTTGTAGCATCCACCTCATGGGGTTATTATAGGGATTACATAAATTTATCCATGGTATTCTCTTAATAAGTGTTATTTTTTTCCTGTGACTTTCCTGTGGGTTTATATACTTCAAAATTTAATCTTCAGGCCGGGACCGGTTTGGCTCAGTGGATAGAGCGGCCTGCGGACTGAAAGGTCCCAGGTTCGATTCTGGGCAAAGGCATGTACCTTGGTTGCGGGCACATCCCCAGTAGGGGGTGTGCAAGAGGCAGTTGATGGATGATTCTCTCTCATCGATGTTTCTAACTCTCTATCCCTCTCTCTTCCTCTCTGTGAAAAATCAATAAAATATATTAAAAAAAATTTAATCTTCAGAAAAAAGCAAGTACAGCAATGATTTACATTAAATAGTTTACATTTTTGCTACTTAAATTGTGGTCTGTAGAGCTATAATATCAACACCATTTTGGATTGTTAGAAATGCAGAGTTTCAGGTCCCACTCACGCATACTCATTCAGCACCTACATTTTAACCCAATCCATGTTTGAGTCATACACATATTATAGTTTGAGAAGCAGTATGTTAGAAGATTTTGAACATTGTAGCTTACCTCTCAGTATCTTTATCTGTATCAAGGATATTCTACAAAATCACAAGCCGAGTGGAGCAAAGCAAACACAAAATTCATTTTTGTAGAAAGTAAAGGCAGGTGTAATCCATAGACCACAAAATGCAAGGGCTGCTTACAGCCACTGAGATCCAGAAAGGAAGTGCAGGAAGTGCAGTGTGGCCGAGGGCCCAGACCTGGGAACCTGGCTTCTTACAGGTGACTCCTTGATGCTGAGGGGTCTTATCCGGAAGTGTCTATCCCTTGTTTACTATAGCTGGCAGGAACTGGGATGAGCTGCTGGGGATTGGATAGCCTGGGACTGGAATGAATCTGGCTGACATGGACAAAAGCCAGGAGGAAGGAGGTGGAGATAAGAAGCACAGAGTGTTAAGAGGCCCCACTAGTGGCAGAGACTCAGCAAGCACTAGAAAAGGAAAATACCCTTTCTGAGGGCGTGGCTGTGTCCTGTGTGAGGGAGTGTGGCTGGCAGCGGTAGTAACCCTCTTGACCCGTATTGTTTTAGAGAAGCAGAAGGGGGATGTCTAATCACACTTTGAGGCCTTATTTGCATCTGTATCTGATGCAAACACAGAAGAGAGCTATTGGTATGTGTAGCCTGGAAGGCTACCCTGGCCTCTCCTCTTATAAATAGCTACAGAAGAAAACCTAACACATGAGAGTAATAAAAACTATTAGCTCAGCACTGATACAGACACTGTGAAAAAGAGAGAAGACTGACCAGTAGATGAGTGATACTCACTGTGGAGCCCGCCAGAGTTGTGATCAGACATTTCAATACCAAGTACTAAATGTCAGAGTCACTCATCTCAAACGTGGAAATGTTTGTATATTTAGTTAAGATTTTTGCATATATATTCATGAGAGAAGTGGAACTACAATTATTCTTTTTACCAAAGTTTTGCTTTTTTTTTTTTTTTAAATATATTCCATTGATTTTTTACAGAGAGAAAGGGAGAGAGATAGAGAGCTAGAAATGTCGATGAGAGAGAAACATCGACCAGCTGCCTCTTGCACAGCCCCCACTGGGGATGTGCCCACAACCAACGTACATGCCCTTGACTGGAATCGAACCTGGGACCTTTCAGTCCGCAGACCAACGCTCTACCGCTGAGCCAAACCGGTTTTGGCCCAAAGTTTTGCTTTTGTAAGACTAGTAGGAAAGTTGTTCCCTTGTTTTATATATTTTTAAAGAGTTTTTAAAAGATTGGGTGCTATTTTTTCTTAAATCTCTGCAAGAATTCAATAGGGAAGAAATCTAGGCCGGGAGTTTTCTTTGTGGGTTTTTAAAAATAGTAGATTCATTTAAAAAATATTTAAGACTATTGTGATTTTCTGTTTCTTCTGGTATCTGTTTTGTAATATTTGCTGAGAATATTGTTCATTTCATCTTAGTTATCAAATTTATTAACAAAGTTTTTTTTTTTTATAATGTTTTCTTTCTATTGTTTGTAAGAACTGGATCATGTACTATTTTCTATTCTTGGTAATTTGTATTCTCTCTATCTCTCTCTCTTTAATTAGTTTTCCTTATTAGTGTTTTTGAAGAACCATGTTTTGACTTTGTTGATTCAACTTATATTCTTGATTTAAAAAATAAAAATATAATAGGGATAATTGAATATTTCAATAATATGACAAAATAAATCTCTGGAGGCAGAAGAGCCAGCATCATGTTTAATGGAAAGATACTTAGAAGCAATTCCATTAATGCAAGGAACAAGATTCATCTCTAACCAGTATGGTACAAGCTGATAGATAGAAAATAACAAGAAATTAGATGTGTAGAGACTGGAAAACTGTCATTAAGAGGTGAAAGCCCCAAAGAATCAACTGATAAATTACTACCAATATAAGAGAAGTCAGTGAAGTAATGAAATATCATATTAGTCTACAGAAACTACTAGGTTTTATATTTCAACATAAACATGAAGAAAATATCCTTAATAAAAGAGAAACACCAAATATAAAATAGCAATAAACCTTAAGGTAACAGAGGTATGAGTTCCACAAAGAATAATTTAAAATAATACTGAAAGAAAAATGAACACTTCTTCAAATGGAAATATATTTCATACTCATGGGTAGACTTAACATATTAAAATTTTAAGTTCCTTAAGTTGGTTCTGAATATAATGTTTCATTTTTAATGTTATAAGTCTTTTCATTTTAATGTTATGTCTTTTAAAAAAACTAGACAAGCTAATTTTAAAGTATATGAAAAAATAGCATGCAAGGATAACCAAAAAAGATTGTAAAAGAAGCAAAATGAAGTAAGCTACCCTACCAGATTTTAAAATATCATAAAGTCTCAATATTTAAAAGATATTGACATAAGGATAGTCATAATAATGGAACAAAAGAGAAAGTTCAGAATAAGCTCAAATACTGAAGAGAATATGGTAAAAGTATTGTCCCAGTTCAATGGGAAGGAAAGTCAGTAAAGGATGATGAGACAACTGTATAGCTATGTTGACAAACAAAAAGTAAAGTGAAATCCTTATGTCACACCACTCATCAGGATAAATTCCAAACGAGTAAGAGATTTAAAATTTTAAATTAAAACACAAAAGCTCTGGGTGGGAACATGGAAAATTCCCATTTTACTTTGGGGTGAGATTGGGCCTTGTTAACTGAGACTACAAATCCAGAGATCATAAAGAAAAGACTTGTAAATTAAATTATCTTTACAATATATTTCTTCCCATTAAAAGGATATTTGAAAGGGTAAAAAGACGGACACGAGTATTAGGAAGGGTTGGGGCTAGTCTCCTTTAGAGAGTTACTGGAAATTGTTTAAGAAAAAAAAACACGAAAAACAAAACAAAAAACAACAACCAATCACTTACTAGGTAAGTTGACCAGGCAGATAAATAGTTCACAAAAAGGAAATACTAATGATTCTTAGTTATATGAAAAGATGCTCACTCTTACTCATTATAAGAGAAAAGCCAGTGAAAACTATAGAGAGAACTATCTTTCATCTCTAATCATTAAAAACCAAAAAGTGTGATAACATATTCGGTTGGAGGAACTATGGGAAAACAGGAAAATACACTCTTCGTGGGACACCTTAGTGGGACACAATGTGACACCTAGAGAAGTCAATTTAGTGTTTAGTACAATTAAAAATGCATTTCGGAAATTACATAAACATAGTTGCATTAAGTTCTCTTTTTGTAATTGTAAATTTGGGAAGGAAATCATTTAAGAATTCCTGGTAAGAAAATATTTAAAGTAATATGGCATTTCATCAAGTTTTATCTCAGTTTAGTGCAAAAAATGTTCTAAAATTGACTGTGTTTTTTTGTAGCCTGAACCTCCAAAGAAACCATCTAATTGGAGAAGAAAACATGAAGAATTCATTGCCACCATAAGAGCAGCCAAAGGCCTGGATCAGGCCCTCAAAGAGGGGGGCAAGCTTCCTCCTCCTCCTCCACCTTCTTACGATCCTGGTACATGCCTGTTGTTGACAGTACTGCTCATGGGGGATAACATATTGGTAGAATTTTTATTAATTTTAAGTTGTTATTAAACTTAATCTGTAATAATGGAACCTGATGAAGCATAGTCTATAAAAGTTTTGCTACAAAATAATGTTGATAGCAAGCCTTTAGGCTTATTAATACACATCCGTGTTGAACATTTTTATCTCAGTACTTCTATTTAAACACTACGATATCATTTTAAAACTATTGTAGCAACTATTAAATTTTAATATTCCAGGAAACATTTTAATCGTGCTCACTGTGAATTGAAATGTAGTCATTCAGTAAGATTCACACAGTGATGTTGCTTAGTTCTTTGGAATCTTCTCATCTGGGAAGGAAGAAAATTGTAACATTGCTTAAAAAATATATAGTTCGTGTGAGGAAATTACCATATAAACCGATATACCTAACTATGCCCTAAACTCACGCATTATATTTTTTCATTGAGTGGGTAAAAGGTGCTTATTATTGTTATAAAAATAAACAAGGCAGGCTGCTGGCTGCCCCGTTTGAGTTGTTATGATACTAATAGGTTTAAAATAGCACATTTGACATTTTGACATTGATTATTAGAGTAGCCTGAAGAGGTGGTTATTTTAATGTAACAAGTTAACTGCATCAAAATTGTGTTAGTATTTTAGATTGGGATTTATTTCTTTGTAAAGAGAACTTTCTTTAGAAAAATCTAGATATGATCATTTTTAATGTTTTATTATAGAAAAAGAAGTTGGCAAACTTATTTCTAAAAGGGCCAGATAGTAAATATCTTAGGCTTTGCAGGCAATACTCAGCTCTGTTTCCCCTACTAAAAGAAATCAACCACAGACAATATGTAAGTAAATGGGTGTAGCTGTCTTCTAATAAAACTATTTATCAAAACAGGCAGCTGGCAGAACGGATTTGGCCTAGGGGCCCTTGTTTGCCAGCCTCTGTTCTAGAATAATTAACTTTAATGTTAGGTGTGTTTCTGGAATGACCCAACTGGGTTTGGGTCTCTTTTAATTCTCCCTAAATTTTCCCCATGAAGTTGAATTTTCTCTGTTTTGGAGGCATTTGTATATATCACACCTTACTCAACATAGCTATATTTCTCATGTTTACCTAGGTAAGAGAGCAAGACTTCCAGTAGTTCAGCATGATTTGGGCTATAGAAAATTTAAAATATCATAGTCCTGACAAAACAACTTCTTTGTTATTAGAAATTTTAGATTTACTCACTAATTAGCAGGACAGATTTCTGAGCTTCAAATGAGTATAAATTTAAAGGTAAACCACTATAGAAAAGTAAACTTGTTGAAATAGAGATTTTTTTGACACTGCTAAATTTTTATAGTCATGTCTTTTCAGTGTCTCAGTTGAGATCTTTTATAGTACTACAAAATTTAGTTCAGCTTGGGATAATTTAGAGATTTAATTTTAAATAAATTTTATTTATAGTATACATTGCATTTTAGAATATTTTATCATGGAAGCATTCTCTCTTAAATTTGAATGGATGTTCAATAATGGAATCATACCATTGGGCTGAATTAATTATGTTGAGATATATTGCTTCTTTCATCTGTTGGGACTTCTAAAAGATAATAAATACAAAGTCGATTAAAACTATTTTATGATAGTTTTCCTCTAATTGAAGTACAATATTTTAATAGATGATCCTAAATTTTAAAATATATTTTGAATGTAATGTGTTATTACTGCCTAATTAATCTAACATATAAAAATATGTATATACTAGAGGCCTGGTACATGAAAATTCATGCACTGGAGTGGGGGTGCCTCAACCCAGTCTGCCCCTTCTCATAGTCCGGGAGCCCTCATGGGTGAGAGGTGACCCATCGATCAGGGGAAGGCGATGCCCCCATTACACCTCTGCTGGGCGGCCCGGGGCAGCTGGGCAGCTGCCATCCAAGGCTTGCCTGTACTTTGGGCCGGCTCTGGGCAGCTGGGGGGCTGAGGGAACTGGGGGACTCCAGAGGCAGGTGCCTTGGCAGGGCTGAGGGGACTGGGTGCCACCATCTTGTGGCTGTGGGCACCACCATCTTTGAGGGCGTGGCAGTCAGCATATTGCCTCCTTATTGACTGTGGTTGCTGCATCTTTGTGAGGGTGTGATGGTCAATTAGCATATTCCCTCTTTATTAGATAGGATGATGAAACATGGCATTATAGAGGTAAAGAGAAATAACATTTTCCCTCCATATTTGTATCAAGGATTTATACTTTTTTTTCCCCTTCAAATTTGATTCTAAGCTGGAAGAACATGGGACTTTATTATATACCAGAGGCTTGATGCATAAAATTCCTGCAAGGGCCTTGGCCCCCGCCGCTATGGCGGCCACCTCTGTCTTGATCCCCACCTGCCCAGGCTTTGTCCCAAAGGAAGGATGCCCAGAAGGACATCTGGTCTAATTTGCATATTATGGTTTTATTATTATAGACTAACACTTTTTGCTTAAAAATCTTTATATCAAGTTTGGATAAGTCAGATTGAGTGGTTATAAGGAAGTGAGAGATTTTGTTTATTAAATATTACTTATGCTTATGTCTTCATATAAACTTATAATTCATTATGTCCTACTTAAAGTATTGTGTTAATAATTGCTTCTTTTTTTTTTGTTTTAGATTATATTCAGTGTCCATATTGCCAGAGGAGATTTAATGAAAATGCGGCTGATAGACATATAAATTTCTGTAAAGAACAGGCAGCACGTATTAGTAATAAAAGCAAATATTCCACTGATGTCAAAGGCAAAGCAACTTCTCGGACACAGGTGAAATGTGCTACTTAATCATGTCCACAAACAAATGAGAAAATGACTTTTTCAAGTTAACTGTTTTATAGAACATTTAAGAATCATTTTCTCACCTGCTAAAATTTATGTATTACTGTTCAGGGATTTAGTAATAAATTTGAATGACTAATTGAAAGAAAATAATTACAGTTAATTTAAAATGGACTTGAGTTAATAGAAACTTGTAAATATATAGATTTTGAAGAGGTATTAGGAAATATGTAAGAAAATAAGTTAAAAATTGGTGAAGCAGGTACAGAGGAAACCAGAGGTGATAGAGGAGTAAGAAAATGCCAGTCAATTACCTACATGAAAATCATGTGAGTGTTGCTCTGGCTGGAGTGGGTCAGGTGGTTGGAGCATCATCCTGTGTACTGGAAGGTTGCTGGTTAGAGTCCTGGTCAGGGCACATGCCTAGGTTATGGGTTCGGTCCCCAGTCAGGGCAGGTACAGGGGGCAACGAATCAATGTTTTTCTCTCTCTCCCGCTCCGGCCCCTTTCCTCTCCCCATCCATCCCCTTTCTTCTTCTCTAAAATCAATTATTTAAAAAAAAAAAAATCATATAAGAACTGAATGTTTCCATGTTATGTATGAGTAATGTTTCCATGTTATGTATGAGTAATGCTATTGAGGGAATGAATGTAGGGTCAAATCCAAATTGCTAATTTTAGCCTTTATTTCTTCATTTGTGCAGTGGTAATTTCCATGAGTATTGTGAGAAGCAGATGGAATAATGTATGTGAAAGCATTTAGCACACTATTAACCATAGAAAGCTTTTGTTATATGAAATTGATTTTTACAGTACTATTGGTTTTCTTAAGCATGTTGGAAGTATAAAAATGTCATAGTTCCAAGCAACTTTCATTCTTTTATAAAGCTTTCATTTTTAAATAAATTTTTAGTACTATAAATCTAGCAGATAATAAACCCATTTCTCTTGTTACTTACAAATAAAACATTGAATTAAAAGACTACATTACAATTGGGGTCTTCTTGAGAGAATTTTTTCATTAAATGTTTGTTAATATTACTGGAAATAGAACAAACACATCATTATTATTTTCACTGTGGGGAAAGAACAGTGACTCATTTTGAATGATTTCTCAAAAGAGATGTCAAACACATATCTTACATATATAAACAGTTAATGACTGTAATACGATTTTTTGTTTTGTTTCAAGAATAAAATAATCAGTAGAGCAACGGAAATACAATAGGATGTGTATATGCCAACAACTTTATTCCAAATAATTGATAAATGTGAAATCCTAGTAGTTGATTTTCTCACCTTAAATCAGTGTTAATTCCATGTCTGGTTGTGTATGTTCATTTTACTCTAACCCCATATTTTTTAAAAAAAATATATTTTTTATTGATTTCAGAGAGGAAGGGAGAGGGGAGGGAGAGAGAGAAACATCAATGACGAGAGAGAATAATAGTTCAGCTTCCTCCTGAACCCCCCAACTGGGGATTGAGCCCACAATCCGGGCATGTGCCCTGACCTGGAATCGAACCATGACCTCCTGGTTCATAGGTTGATGCTCAATCACTGAGCCCTGCTGGCCAGGCCATATTTTCATGTTTCTATTCATTTAACAAGTTTTTATTGAGTACCCTGTTTGAGTCAGATACTGTAGCAAGTACTGAGTATATATTAGTAGACTAAATACAGTACTTTTTCATAAGAGGTTTAGATGCTCCTTATCATATTTAACAGCTGTATTTTCATAAGCACACAGTATTATCAGTCCTGAACATTTTTAGTATTTTGTTAAAAATTGGTCTAAATAGTACCTTCTGCCATTTTATAAGAAACTAGGGGCCTAGTGCATGAATTCGTGCACCTTGAAAGGAACTGTGGGCCGCGAGGCTGTGGTAGGCACAGGGGCTAGTCTCTGCCCATCCTCTGTGCCCCCACCTGGCTCCTCCCGCCATGGCCGCTGGTCCTCTGTCTGCCTGCAGTCCTGCTCCTGTTGCCGTTCCCACAAGCTGATGGTGCCGGCCCCACTCAAACCCACTGATGGCGCAGAGCAATTGGGGCTGGCGCCGGCAATGGGTGCAAGTGGTGGCTGCTGCCCGATCGCCCTGCAGGAGTAGGGGGAGGTGGAGAAGCCCTCAGGGGTGATCGGGGCCAGCAGCCGCTGCTCGGACCCACTGATGATGCTGAGTGACCGAGACTGGCGCCAGGCACTGGCAGTGGTGTGAGCGGCAGCTCTGGTGGTGGCAGCAATTGGTGCCCACCTTGTTCTGGTGCCTCCACTCACCTGCTCCATCATCCCATAGTGACTGATTGTTCAGTTGTTCTGCTGTTTGGTCTGTTTGCATATTAGCCTTTTATTATATAGGATTAATGTCTTCCACAATCTTTAAGCTTTTCCATTAAAGAAAGTCTTTTAGTAAGTAAATTTACTAGAGTTGTGATCAGCATAAAAAAAAAACATACACAAAGGAAATAATTAGCACCTAACAAATACTTATGAATGAAAGAGAAATATACACTGAGTGGGCAGATTATCATGATCTCTGAATGCATAATAATCTGGCCACTCTGTGTATATTGATTATAATTATATTAAAAGAAAATTATTTCTTCTGAATGAACTTATATGAGATTGTTGATAGCTAGTCATCCTGAAAGCCTTTCTAATGCTGGTAGAATGTCAGCTAGATGCTATGGGATAGATAAAATGCAGCTCAGGGAGGAAAGAGTCCCATTATCTAGGGCAGGGGGACAGCAACCTACTGAGAGGCAGGTGAATAATCTTTAAACAAGAGGCATTCAGAGTAGCATGAGGATTCACAAAGGAAACTAACCTGACTAGTTCTTGTTTTAAGTAACAGGAGCTATTAGAGGCGATAGATAAGGTTGGACTACGTTTTAGGGACCTCAGGAAACAGTAAAATTGAGTAAAATCATAGAAGGCCTAATATAGAGAGCAGAAAAGCAAAGCACTGTTTTTTTTTTTGCCTTTTTCAATTTCTAAGCCATTAAGTTAATAATAATAAATTCTGAAAGGTACATAAAAATATATATGCTCTATATATAGTTTTACTAGGCCCTTTCTGCTTGTTCTCAACCTGAAGGCTTGACCTCTCACTATGCAATGCGTCCCCCTTTGTGTATGCAGCTCATGAGTGGGCCACCAATTCTGTTTCTTAATTCAGTTTTATGGACCCTGATTTTAGTAGACATGTCTCTGGTATTTTGACAAATCTTTTTTAGGTCTTGTTTTCATATTTATTTTAAAATATTTTCTAATATCTTCATTGATATTTTAGTGGGAGAGACATATGAACAGATGCTCTTTTATTTTATTATATTGATATTTAAAAATATTTTTATTAATTTTTTAGCGAGAAGAAGGGAGAGGGAGAGAAAGAAACATCTGTGAGAGGGAAACATTGATTGGCTGCCTCCTGCACACCACTTATTGGGGAATTCAGCCAGCAGCCCAGGCATGCGCCCTGACCTGGAATCTAACCGGCAGCCATTGGGTGCATGGGACAATGTCCGCCAGCTGAGCCACACACCTGCCCTTTTAAGTCAGAAACACCTCCGCTCTGCCCAGGTTGCTCAGTTGGTTAGTGTCATCCCGGTATGCCAAGGTTGCAGGTTTGATCTCCCCTTGGGGCACATCCATGAATCAACTAGTGAATGCATAAGTAAGTGGAACAACAAATTGATGTTTCCCACTGCTTCCCCTCCCTCCCTCCCTCCCTCTCTCAAAATCAGTTATAAAAACCCAAACAAACCAGAAAGACCTCTCAAGTTTTTAAAGAAATTGTCTACAGCTTATCTCCAAGGTCTTCTAGTCATTTGTTCATCTGATAGACAGTTATTGAAGGTTTTCTATTTGCCAAGTGTGCAAGAAATTTTAATTTCTGGCATAATAGTTCCAAATGTGCATGGTATTTGAGTGTGTATAAGAGACCCTTTTATCAAAAAATTTTTTTAAGGTCACATACTGAATTTCAGAGATATGTTTGAAATTTGTGTTTAGCTAGCAACTTTTCAGTAGTGCTACTACTGATTATTGGTTATAAAATATGATTTGACTTTTGAAAATCAGGTTTAAAACGCATTTTCAGATAAAGTCCTAAGCACTAAATACTGCATTAGGCTAACTCTCAAGTACACACACAATGCAGTAATCCTATGTAATAAAAGGCTAATATGCAAATCATCCACGAGGGAGTTTATCCAACCAGGGATTTGACTGCTTGCTATGATGTGCTCTGACCACCAGGGGATAGTGTAGAATGAAGGAAGGTCCTGGCCAGCCCTGATCACTGGCCAGGCCTAGGGACCCTATCTGTGCATGAATTTTGTGCACCGGGCCTCTAGTATTGAAACTTTATAGTGAAGCATTGGCTGGCCCTGAGGTGGCCTGAGTCTTCATTTCCGTTCTTTTGTTCAGTTGGGGTGTGTCCCTGGGCAAGTGCATTTCTTTATGTCAGGTCAGGTGATTGATAAGATAGTTTTGTATTTAGTAAATGAGCAAAATTTGGCTCATAAGAGACAGTGAAATAAAATTAATAGTGATATCCCTTGAGAGAGTGGAGCACAAATAAAAATAACATAAGCTGATGTGCCTTGTTCTTTCTTAACCCACATCCCATCCCTCTGATGTGGTCTGGTGAGGATGGGAAGCCAGACTTGGCTGTCTCTCCACATTAGGGCATCCGAAGGCAGCTCTTGTAAACCTGTCTGGGTTGATATGTAATCTTAGGCATGTGATCAGTAAATGTGGCTGGATTATACATACGAAATATAAAACCACACCCAGGGACATGCTATATCCTGACCTTTAAAAGTCACTCCACCCAGTGAGAAGCATTAGGTGTCTAAGTTTTTCTGTTAACATTTGCTTGGTGTTTAGAATCTAACATCGAGGAAATATTTCCCACTAAACATTTCCCCTATGAACTGGGAAAGTTGCTTTCTGTTTATTTTAGAAATGGAACATCGTAGCCAAACTTTCAGTCCACCAGTTTTGAGAAGGAACATTTTGGGAAACCTCTCTCTGAGGTGACACTTTCTAATCTGCACTTTCTCACTTTGGGCAAAAGTAATGAGTAAAAGGATTGCTCATTGAAGGGAAGGGAATACTAGTTGTGAAACAGTAGTTTACAATTGATATTAAAAATGATGATGAAATAATTTATTTTCATTATTTTAGTATAAGCCGCCTGCTCTCAAAAAGACAAATTCTCCTGGGACCCTGTCATCGGGATCGTCACGATTACCACAGCCAAGTGGCAGCAGCAAGACTGTTGTAGGTAATGACAGCCATGAGAGAATTCGTTTCCTTTCTTGTTATTGTTTACAGTGTTAGTAGAGAAGGAAATGAAGACATAAGGAAATGAAATTTTATTCGGATCATTAAAACAGATTTATAATTAATTAAAAGATAGGGTAAAAATAAAGTAACTTTCAATAGCTTCTACTTTAGGTGTTTATTGTCTTAGCTTCAATGAATATCCTTGATGTTGTTAATGATATAGGATTTGTTCAGAGTAGACAACCAAGTTCTTTTTTTTTCTTTCTTCTTAATATATATATTTTATTGATTTTTTTGCAAAGAGGAAGAGAGAGGGATAGAGAGTAAGAAACATCGATGAGAGAGAATCATCGATCAGCTGCCTCTTGCACACCCCGTACTGGGGATGTGCCTGCAACCAAGGTACATGTCCTTGACTGGAATCGAACCTGGGACCTTTCAGTCCACAGGCCGACGCTCTATCCATTGAGCCAAATCGGTTTTGGCAACCAAGTTCTTTTTTTTTGATTCTGTGACTATTTTTTCCTCATTTCAACCTATACTGCTCTGAACCGGATAATTGTCCTTAATATACAAATGTTTAATGGTTAGAAGACAATATTGACCACTGAAGTGTACTTTTATTTGTATGTAAATTATAAGAAGTATGGAAATTAGAAATGAAGGATACTAGATGTTCCCTGGAAATTTCATTTTTTAAAGAAAAATAATTCTTAGTTGATAACAAGTTTAGATTTATTACCAGTAATCCATTATTTTTTTTGTCAGATGCTAATTTATGTGATTTCCCCCCCAGAGTTTCATTAAAACTAATACCTTTCTATTGTAAGGTGTCTCTTCAGGTAAAGTGTCTTCAGTTAGCAGCTCACTGGGAAACAAACTTCAGACCTTATCTCCCTCGCATAAAGGGATAGCAGCCCCTCATGCAGGGTAGGTTGACATTGAACCTAATTCATTAATGACATATATGTATAAATACTAAGGTTTTATTTTGTTTAGATAATTGGCTTTTTCATTAACCTTAATTTTTTTTCTAAGTTCACTTGTCTGTTAATATTGCTGCTCAGGACCACACTCATTGCTGGCGAGGCTCTAAATTAGTATACTCCCATTGGAAGGAAATCTGCCTAACATTTATCAAGAAGTTTGAATACTTCTAAAGTATTTCTATATTTGATTGAATAATTTTACTCGGGGAATCTAGCTAAGGAAATAATTTGAAATATGGAAGATTTTTTGTAGTAATCATGATTTAGTAAGAATTATGTATCAGGCACTGTGCTAGACATTTTACACACATTTTTATTAAAATCACCCTACTGCTGTATCATGAGAGGGCTCGAGAAGGAAAGTACTTTGTTCAAAGCTGCACAGCTGTTAAAAGTTAGAAGCAGGGTACAGATCAAGGTCTCTTTAGCTCTAAACATTGGTCTTTTTTCATGTTTTTATTACCATGTAAAAAATATAAAACCACCTAAATGTGTCTAGCTTTGTTTGAAGAGCAGATGTTTTAAGTTAACAAAGGGATATTATGCAACCATAAACAAATATATAAATCTTAATAAACCGATTCTGCTATAACATGAGTGAAATGTAATATACAAACTCCATGTTTGCTATGATAGAAAGTAGAAAAATAGATGTAGACAAAAAAAGACCAAATATGCTGAAATAGTAAAAATGGTTGATTCTTTTCATTTTATTTAATACTAAATACTTTTTATTTTTCTACAGTTTTATAAACATGATTTTCAGTAAAGTAGCATAAGTAAGCTTTGAACAATTATGTTCCTGGGGGAAATTATTGATAACACTAGATATTTTAATTAGTTTTAATTCAGGCCTGGCAGTCCACTAACCTCACTTTCTTCCATTTTGATGTCAGAAAGTTAAGGATTACCATATGTTCATAAACATGCAAGATGATGTCTATATCTTTAGAAATGCTGATAAAGTTGATAGAGGAAATATAGCCCATATTACTTTCAGATATAGGTTATCACTTTAGTTTTTATGTAGGAAATATACTGGCATATCAGGGTAAATATAAAATGAGAATAATTGCCTTTTGTGTTCTAATTTAGATTATGCAGAAAGTGCAAGAACTAAAAGGAATTTAACTTCTTTTGTAGGAAAAGAAGAACAATGTACTAACATCTGATTAGTTAAATGTTTTTTCCTTTTTGTTGTGCTTCCAAAAAGAAGAGACATGCTATCCTTAAGAAAGAGAGAGGTTATCAGTAGAACAGGTAGTTGAAAAGTAAAAGGTTCTCAGCTTACAGTGATAAAACTGATTTTTTTTCTTGCTTCTCTACTGATAAATCAAGTATAGACATAGCTATATGTGTTTAATAAATAAAGTATAGACATAGCTATATGTGTTTTAATTTACAAAGCCTTTCTAACTACATCACAAAGAATTACCTTCCATGTTAGTTTATAGTTTTTTTTTTTTTAAATATATTCTATTGATTTTTTACAGAGAGGAAGAGAAAGGGAGAGAGAGTTAGAAACATCGATGAGAGAGAATCATCGATCAGCTGCCTCCTGCACATCCCCTCCTGGGGATGTGCCCGCAACCAAAGCACATGCCCTTAACTGGAATCGAACCTGGGACCCTTCAGACTGCAGGCCAACATTCTATCCACTGAGCCAAACTGGCCTCAGTATAGTTTTTGTTTGTAGTATTATTTGTAGTTTCGTTTGAATGTGATTATGAATTAAAAGCTGGTATTTTCAGGACCTCTCCTGTCATGCTGGTAATTTAATCATTTGGCAATAGTGAGTTGCACTGACACCCTGTATCCTTAAATAGGGCGAGTGAAGCTGGCTGGTATAACCGAAAGGGACGCTGACTTTGAATTAGAGAACGAGGCTTCTGGGCCCAACTTTGCCACTAAATAGCTTTATGCCTTTGCCTTTGTGCCTATCTCCTTTCTGTCTCACTCGGACCTCACCTGTGACTCGGCTTAGATCATGACAACTGACCTAAGAAAATCTGATCAGCATTTACATCATCCTTTGGAGAAAATGTTTTACTGACAAGCAAAGATTGTGAGCACACATTTTATGTTATGTACCGCTTATAATACGACGAAGAGTTAACATTTCTGGTTCTCTCACATCATATTAAACTGTCAAACATAATTATTCAAATCCCAATTGTCCATTTATATATGATCCTTACATGTTACAGGAGTGCCTTTAGATACTGGGAAGAGAGCTGTGGTGTTTGCTTCTGGCTAATATATTACTATATGAACTGGAACATAACCAACCATATCACATATATTTCACAGAACCATCCGTGGCTCCTGTTGAGTGGCAGGCTTCATTCCCTTTTTAGAATTATTGAGGTACGATCTGTTCATGCCAGATCATAACCTTTGATCACAGCTCTGTGTGTCTGCATTGCTTGCAGTTATAACCACAAAGTATTGGACAATGCCTGGCATTTAGGCACACACGTTTTTGACAAGTAAATAAAAAAGTAACGAATTCATAAATTAGATCCCTTATTTGTCAACCTGTTGGCATATCACAGAATCATGGTGCCAGTACTGATGGAATAATGACATAAAGTTTGTACGGCAACTATTCCAGTGACACAGGTGATTCAGGACAGAGTTAAAGTAATTAAGACACCTGGCTAGCTGAAATGTTTAAGAAATTAGGCATCTTCTGAGGTTAGTAAAATAGTTTCAGTGACTTGGAATTATTTTAAGCCTATGTATATACAGAGTTTGCTCTGTTCAGCTTTTTATGGATACCAATGATCTGTAATATTTAGCTTATATTTGAGTCAAACCACAGACAAATTCTGTTTGCTAATTAACTTCTCGACAACCTGTTGATCAACCAATTTTAACAGTTTTTTTAAGCAAAGCATACACCCAAAAGAAAATTTTCCTTAATCTAGAATTTGAGAAGTATTATGAAATGCAGAGCTTCAAAATAAATATTGCCACATTTGAATTCTGTCACAGAGTTCATAGTCTTGCCTTGAGAACTGTGTTTTCTTAATGGTTAATTACCAGCTTAAATAGATGTCTATCTGATAATTTTCAGTAGCTAAAATATCAAATTTCAAAGCTTTACTTCTGTTACTGTGAAAAGCAGAAATTTACCCTGAAACAACAGAATGTGTATAAGAAACATTTCTTAATACAAAAGTTGAATTTGGATTTTCATACTTTATATTGACAATAGTAAGAAATAAATGCCTAGTTTTTAAGTACATTTGCATTACCTTCCTGCTCCGATGGCACAGTGGAGCACTTGTGGGAGAGACTGTCTAACCCGCTAAGCCTAACTACTGGCTGCTACCTTTTGCAGGAAAAGTTGGCCACCCCTACCTTAGAATAAGTAAATGATTGTAGGTAGTAGATATTTATAATTTGAAGGTTAGAATAAGTAAATGATTGTAAGCATTAGATATTTATAATTTGAAGATAGGTCTTTTTAAGTATTCTTCATTTACACCCAAAGATGGAACTGTTTTTTTTTTTTTTTTTTTTTTTATTTAAAAAAGTCAGTATGGCTCTCCAGGAACTTTGGCTATAGATTAGGATTCTGTATATCAAACACAAAACTTTTTTAACCTTTATTAATCCAATACTTTTTGATGGTTGAATAGAAAGAACAGTGAGTGATTGAAAATATACTTTCATATCAATTCTGACTAAATCTAGATGCCAATTTAAGGACATGTCATATGAGATTGAAATCCTGTGTTAAGTTACATGATCAGATTGCCAAAATGCCTGCTATATGGGAGTGCTTCGTTCGCTTCAAAATCCTCCTTTGTTTTCCTTAGCAGCAGCAAGACTGCTTTTACTGCGGAATGGATTTATTCCTGCCTTAATTTCTTGCAGATCTTGGTTGTAAGATAATTGCCATTAGTGAACTGGAGCATTTAAACGAAAATGGCATTGAAGCACTCTAAAAATATTCAGATTGTGCCAAGACCGGTTTGGCTCAGTGGATAGAGCGTCGGCTTGGGGACTGAGGGACCCGGGTTCGATTCCGGTCAAGGGCATGTACCTTGGCTGCGGGCATATCCCCAGTAGGGGGTGTGCAAGAGGCAGCTGATCGATGACTCTCTCTCATCGATGTTTCTAGCTCTCTATCTCTCTCCCTTCCTCTCTGGACAAAATCAATAAAATATATTAAAAAAAAAAAAAAAAAAAAAAAAAAAAATATTCAGATTGTTAGTTCCATAGTGGGATACTATCAGATGATTGAAATTATATTCCTCAAACTTTGTAAATAATTAAAAAAAAATATATATATATATATAATATATCATAAAGTAGATTTGTCATTGTATTTTCCCAACATTTATTAATTCTCCAAGTCACCTCAGAAATAGATGATGTATAAATTCAATATGAAAATCAGCAAAAGTGCATTTTTTTTTTCCATAACTTGAAACATCTAAGGCTCTTAAGATCAAGGGAAAACATGTAATAGATACAGACTTACTGCTTTCTATACTCATATTATTCACTGTCTTAACAGATGGTTTGCAAGACCAGGAAAGACAGAGAAAACTTCCACCAAAGAACAGTCAGTTGGATTGAAGTCTTTAAATTCCCTTTGGTAATATCACCACTTTTGCAAAGATTTTTATTTCTTTTCAAATTCCCTTTATCTTGTTGCTTCTTTAACATCTCCAGTGCTACTGGAGGTAGAGGCACAGAAATAGGAGGTTTGATAGAAAAGGGAATAGGAGTAAGGAAGTGTTTACACCAAAATAAATATGAAGATGGTACATGAGGAATGTCTTTTATATCCTAGATCTGGGTACATTAGGGAAATATTTAAGTATTTGAAAGTTCTTTTATAAACTAGTATTTTAAAAATTTATTAATTATCCCAATATTGATTTTTATTAGTATTTAAAAATATATGTGTAAGTAAGATTTTATATGTATACTAGAGGCCCATGCACAAAATTCGTGCAAGAGTAGGCCTTCCTTCCCTCGGCTGCTGGCACCAGCTTCCCTCTGGCTCCCAGGACCTGGGCTTCTCTCGCAGCCTGGCTTCATCCAGAAGGTCATCCAGAAGGACCTTTAGCATATTATGCTTTTATTATTATAGATATTTATATATAATTATTGTAAATATAAATTACATATAACATTTGTATGTATACATATATAGGTAATATTTTTATTATATTATTGAAATTTATAAATTTAGTTTTTGTCTGGTTATACCTTGATATGAACATAGTGTAAGTAGCAAATTATAGCAGAACGTAAGTTTACATGATTTTTTGTTTAAGACTAACGCATTTAGCCTAAGTAACATTTTAATTGTGTGTTTATGTATATACATACACATACACACACACAAACATATTGATCTACTTATTTATCTACAAATATATATATATGTAGATAAATAAGTAGATCAATATATATAAATATATATATATATGTAGATAAATAAGTAGATCAATTGAGTTGAATTTATAACAGGTATATGACATGATAAATCATCATGGGAACCTGCATTTCCATTAGGCAATCATCTTATATGTAGAAAAACGGTGATATTATCAAAAGGAATTTAAAGACTTTAATCCAACTGATTGCTCTTAAAATACTGGCCATCATCTTATATGTGGAATATTTCCATTAATTATCATTACCTCTAGATTTTTATTATATTTTATACCTCTCCTTCCTGAAATTGAACTTGGTTATATCATATGTAAGAGCTGAGTAGTTTTTATAATAGAGGAATCTGACTTAAAAATACAATTTAAACTTTTCTACATTTTAATTTTTATAACTTTATTCTGAGAAATAAAATAAAATATTTTATTCCTTATTTTAAATTCAGACACAGTTTGTTAAAATAACTGAACACTAATGTTTTGATAATTGTTAAACAATTCAAAGAAAATTCTGATTTGTTAGTTTAAATTCTAAATAGGTAACTTTTCCAATCATCTTTCACAAATAAAATAGACCTTCAAAGTTAATCTCCAATATTTTAGAAATTTTGTTTAATATATATTTAATGAAGACATTTTTAAAAAAACTTTAAAATGTTTTAAGTAATGTAAACATCACCACCTGCAGAGTATTAATATCAGAGTATTAATATTTTTCCTAAGTACAGGATAGTAAAAGAACATAAAAATCGATAAAATATATCCCTCCTTAGAGACCCTTATAATCTAGAAAAATGAAGAGATTATTATTTTTTTTTCAGACACAAAACTTTATAAGAACAAGCATCAAATCTCTCTTACCATGATATCCCCAGAATGTAGCACAGTGCCTGACACATATAGGTGCTCAGGATTTGTACTGTCAGTGAATATATGGAAGAATGAATGAGCAAACAAGTATTCCTTAAAAAGAGTGTACTTTTAAAGTTAATAAGCAGTGAGGTGTTATTCAGTGGGCATTTAAGGTAGTTCTCCTAATTTCATAATTTCCCCTGTTCCCTACTATGATGCAGATTGGTTGGTGATAGTACACTATTCGGTTATTTGGTTGATGTAAAACAATGAAATATCTACAAACCAGCAATTCCTCTACTGCCTTCTACAATAGATGGGGACCCTTTGCATTTCTGGCATGGCCACATTTTTCTTTAAAAAAAATGTATATATATTATTTAAGAAAGGAAGAGAGAGATAGAAACATCATTGATGAGAAAGAATCATTGATCAGCCACCTCCTACTGGGGATAGAGCTGTGACCTGGTTCATAGATTGACGCTTAACCACTGAGCCACATTGGTCAGGCCACTTTACGTTTTCACGTGTCATTATTCAATTGCTTGAAACAGTTGTCTTAATCGTCTTCATTAATTTCATTGCCCTGCTGTGCACAAATGTGGCATTTCTTTGGCTAGTCATCAAAACTGGCAAGGTGGCCTGCATGGTCAGATTTTTATATCTACTCCTGGGCATTGTGTGATCTATCGATATCTGAAGATGTCACGTTAATCCCTACCTGGCAGTCAGATAACTAAGAACTAGGGGGTTGGATTCTGATGAACCAGAATAATGCCTTTAAAAAATTTATATAAAGAAACAAACATAGCAATCTCCTTATGGGTACACCTTTATATATTTTAATAGTAAAATGGACAAGTTAGGCCCTCCACTTCGAACTGGAAGACATGTGCAAAGGTTGTATGACAGTGACACAAAATCAGACAGTGCCATCAAAAGACATGAGTTATTACCCATTTACAAGTAAGTATTTGTAACTCAGTTTGGTTAATCTATTTCAGATATTTCCTTAAAAGCTTTTTATACTGATTACTGTAAACTTGTACATACCTATACTTAAAAAAAAATCTTATTTTAATGATTTTTAAGACACAGAGTGATAAATATAGGACTTTAAACAGCTTGATTTTTGGTGAACATTTCTATTGTTCTAAAGCTGTTTTAGAGCATACATTTTATTCCATTACTTTTTAATTTAATTTATAGAGGTTGAAAAAGTAGTTACTACCTTCAGTAGTTATTTTTTTGTAGGAGTAATATTTTTGAAAAGAAGAATATAGGGAATATTATGCCATGTATATAATAAATTACTAGATTATCTTTGAGTTAAATAGGAATTGTTATAAAAAGGCAGAAAAATGATTTTATCGTTTTATTTTTCAAATATATTTTTATTGATTTCAGAGAGGAATGGAGAGGGAGAGAGAAATAGAAACATCAACCATGAGAGAGAATCATTGATTGGCTGCCTCCTGCACGCCCTCTACTGGGGATGAGCCTGCAATCAGGCTTGTACCTTTGGCTAGAATTGAACCCAGGACCTTTCAGTCCACAGACTGATGCTCTATCCACTGAGCCAAACCAGCTAAGGCCTGAAAAAACGATTTTAGAGAACATTTCATGTAGGGACCTCAGTCTTTTTGTTAGATGGTTATGAATTTCACATAAAACAGGAAAAGGATGTGAAAGACACTTTGAAACTCTTCCACGTAGCCTTCAAGGGTTACTAGTTTGGGCTCCGATACAAGTCTAGCCCTCTCATTTTAACATTATGAAATTAGGGCCTAATAAATTACTCATTAAAGTTGAAAAATATGTTATTAGATAGGGTTCACTTAGGTAACTTTTAAACCAAGGTCTACTATCATATATTCTCTTACCAGATATGAAAAGTAATACATTTAGATATACAATGAAATAAAGATGGAGGATGCCTTGAAGATATTAGCAGCCAGCATCCTTGAGTTACCTTTAAGCAGTTAATGATAAACTCTAGAAGGAAGAATCTGCCCTAAACCAGTTTTCTTCGTACTACTGCTATCTGTAGGCGCTGAAGCAAATCTTGAAGAAACACTGACTAGCTAGATTGAGTGCAATTCCAAAATTAAACCTTCCTTCATAACTGCTGGAACTGGATATAGCCAGCTGATTTGACCATGTGAGGCTGGGCAACATGTGTCAAGTGCTGATTGAGATAGTTCTTCCCAGAATCTGAGGATGGTTCTTAACATTCAGATTCTGCCTTTCAGATGTTACCAAAAATACATGATTGGCATTTAATGTGGCGGTTATTATTTAGAATCTTATTTTTTCTCTAATTTTTTCCTAATTATTTAAATAACTTTAAATCATTGATATGGTGAACTTGTGTGTGTGAGTGTGTGTGTGTTCTTGTGCGTGTGCTCGCAGAAGTGGATTTGTATTACCTGTATATCTCATGCACACATTATATGGAAGTGATAGAATTTTTTACAAGACTTGTTTTCAGAGCCAAAGTATAAAAAAATGCGTCCTTTCTATTTCTCTTACGACTCCCACTGGAGGAATTGCCATTTATTGGCAATGATTTTTTAGAAATTAAATTCCTAAAAAGGCACAGTAGCAGTTCTGCAGCATCCCTAGAGGGGCAATCTAATAGCAGAATAGAATACACCTCAGAGATGGACTTGCAGTGACTATTTGAGGGCCGTATGATGTCATCGATGTCATCTGTGTACCAAGGTGAAAGCTGATTTTTGTTGAAGTTTAGAAGTAATTTAAAGTAACTATTCAAAGCAGCTTCTCTCTGAATGACAACATTGCATATTAAACATAAGTTTTGTAATACCTAAATTCAAGTTAATCATGTAATCATTGTGCAAATTATTTAATTTCTTTGCCTATGAATTTCTTCAACTTTAAAATGGGAATAATTGAAGATTTTTGTAAAGATTAAATAAAGTTACATATGTATTGTATTTAGCATGTAGTGTTCTTTGAGAAATAGTAGATGTATTACCTATATTATTTTCATGGTAGCTATTTGAAATTTTAGGAAATTCTCTTCAACTTTACTATATAAGTAGACAAGGAAGAATTTTAGCCAAAATTTAAGAACTTTCTATCTAAAGGAAATTTGAAAATCATTCTGCTTGTTTATATATTATAACAATGCTTATCTCTGAAATGAAAAGATTCGGTAAATCTCTAAAGAGGGGGTGGGAACTAATACTTTACTGAACATCTAGCCACTGCTTCAGCAATGCACTTGGCTATGCCACTTTGGTAAGTTACTTAGCCACTCTTTGCCTAAGTTGTCACATTTGTAAAGTGCAGTTATTAATTCTACCTACAGCATAGGGGTATTCTGAGGATTAAATACATTTAATAAGGTATATATAAATACACTTATTTATAAGAAGATAATTAGAAATATGGCAATAGAAATACAGTACGCACCATTACATAAATGTGAATTTGTAGTAGCAGCAATAGCCATAGTAATAATAATAGTATTATCAGCAGTAGCATTGCTAAATGCTCAGGTAAATTGCAGTTTATGTCATGTAACATCCAATAAGATAAATGAGGATGATCCCATTTTGGTCTCCGAGAGGTTGACCACCTTAACAAAGTTGGTTGTAGCAGTTGGGATTTGAATACAGATTCATCTGCATCCCAGAGCGTGTCCTTTCACCATTAACTGTCATACGATCTCTAATTTTCCTTGGATTCCTGAAGTCTCAGGGAGTCAAGGGTGTCCTAACCAAAATTTTCTCACTACTGACTGATAGCCTAGACTGTGTAGTTAGTGAAGTTAAGTTTTTAAAGGGAAAATTCAATTAACCCATTTATTTGAGTAGATATTTCTCACAATGGACTTTCATAAATTAAATATTACTTTTTAAAATAGCTAGCTAATGTTTAAAGTGGGTAGTTATTTATTTTTTAATCATATCTCATATGCTTAATATATTACATAACTATTATTTGTAGACATTTAACCGCATCTTTATTTTAAGGGAACTGTCAATATTAAACTATAGATAACTTAGAGATTTTCAGAATGATTAACTTAAACATTTCATGTAAAGCATATATACATATTTTAATTGATTTTATAGATCATCAAGAGAATGTTAGTAAATGCAGAATGCTTTGGTTTATCTTTAGTTTTAACTACTATTGTTTTGCATTTTAAAATAATTTTAATCTTTTGATTTAACCTGTCTACAGTTTCTCATTATTTTTCTAATCATGCAAATAGCAATTTGAGAAATAAATGATTATTATTCAATATTTTTTCATTGCCACGTTTTTCCCTTTCTAGCACTAACATCAAACCTCGAAATTCCACACCACCTAATTTGGCACGAAATCCTGCCTCAGGTGTCCTTACAAGCAAGAGAAAAACATATGGTGAGAGTTACATAGCCAGGTATGTTTAGCTCTGGTATTTTAATAACCAAAATAAAAATGAAATAAGTGTGGTTTTCCAAGGACCATATACAAAAATATGTGTCAGGCTTTGATAGAAAATCTGATTTTTCCTTTGCTTTTTATTTAATCTGGCTTTTAATTTATATGCTAAAGAAATAGTTGGACATAAATAATATTGACCTATACTTTGTAGTTAGAATTATTGTTATAAATGCTCAAGAATAGTTTATTTGGTTCCACTGGATTAATTGGTGTTTTTCATGTCTTTGTCTTTAACTGCAACATGGTTATTTTTTTATCTCCACAAAGTGAATATAGATTCTTTAAACCACTGCTATTGTAATTTTTAGCAGCATTTTAATACATGTAAACTCCTCTGCTCAGGTTGTGATTATTCATGTACTTCCCTTTCTAACCTGTCCCAATTATAGATATTTTCTTTGTCTTAATTATAGATTTTTTTAATAGACATCCCAACTTATTCCAGAAAATTTTAAGGCAAAGTACATAAAGGTACCATAAAAGAAAGGTACTGAGCTCTCAGAAAAGTAAGGGGCAAAAATATAAAGGAAGTTCTAAGAAATTCTTAACTAGAAAAATAACTTTGGTTTAGTAGCTCAGAGCCTGTATAAGGAAGGCAAATTATCTGGTGTGAAATGCTCTTTATCCAGGCTTTCTGGTTCTCACAGGTAAATAAACGTAAGCACACAGTTTTGACTTACAAGACATACAGAGAAATCCCAAATTGTACAAACTAGCAATCAATCACTAGTGAGAAAAAAATTAATAAGTCTACGTACCTATTATTTGAATATTGAAATCATCAAACATTGACTTATAAAATAAGCCTGCTTAAAGTATGTAAAGGAATAAGAGAGGGCATTGGAATCATTAACAGTGACAATATACTGTCACATAGTGAACATCTGTGCAAAAGAACTAAATAGAACTCAATAAAGACTCAAAAGATGGTTTAAATTGTAGATAAGTCACAATGAAAGAAGAGAGAAGTGAATTAGAGGATAGATTTAAAGACATTTTCTTGGGACAAATACAATGCCAAAGAAAACATTTAAAATTTTAATATTTACTAAAAGAGATCGGGATTCTAAGAGGCTGCAGAGTAGCTGGAGGCTCCATCTACTTGCTCCCAACCCCACACTGGATTTGTGGATAAACTGCTGTGTTCAGCTTGAAAGTCAGCTGAATGTAGCTGATCTGAAGGATTGCAGGCAGGGAACGGACAGGAGAAAGGACAGGAGACACAGAGGTTGAGCCAACTTGTGCAACTGCGTGGCGGGGAAGCCTGAGGAAGTGTAGCTTTGGAGCCTCTGGCCCCTGGGAGTGTGGGTTTTCAGCCTCATACAGGATTCCCCAATCCAGAGCAACAGAGGAGGGAAGGGGAGCCTGTCTAGCACCAGGCAGTGGGAATCAGTGGGGATTCGGTTTACCTGGGAATTTTAGATCGCACCATCCCAGACAAAGAGTGATTTCTTTATTACAACACCAGCCAGGGAAGTCCACTCAGATCTGTGTCTATGGGAGGGGCCATGTGGCCAAGACCTGGGCCAGCAGAGGTACACCCGGAAGTGAATGTGAGGAGCCCTTGATTCTAGGGAAGAACCGTGAGGAGAGAGCCAGAAGAGGGCTGGACTGTGGCGTGGCAAAAAGAATTGATCTAGCCCAACTCAAGCTGACAGGCAGTCACATCCCCCAACCTGCAGAGCAGCTGGGTGTTCCCCATCCTGGAAGTCTGCACCGCTATTCTATGGCTAGGTCTGATGGCACCGAGGACTTGGACATTGGGCCTGGTAGGAACATGGGTGGAGGCCCCAATCAGTGGGGCCAGATGTGCTGAAAGCTGGGTTGATTTTATTCTATTTTATTTTATGCCCTCCTAATTGGTGTGGCGGGGCGGGGGTGCCAGGGAGCCAGGCATAGATGAGTTATTGTGACCTTGTCTCTGGGGTGAGTTCAGCCAGTGCAGACCTTGGAAGGAGAGGAAATGTCTGTCCCAGCCCTACATACTGTGGGCACCCACCCCAATGCAAGTCTATTTAAACCACCCTGGCCAGGTCCAGGATACCCCACAGAGCCAGTTGTATGGGGGAAGGGAGAGCAGCTGTGAACAGAGACATTCAAGGTGCGAGACCAGAGGCAGACCCAGCCTCTGGGCTATGGAGCCTCCACCCATGGGACTTCTTGGAGCTCCATCCTGCTAGGCTTCAATCAGATTGCTGAGGGCCAGGAAGCTTCAGCGACTGGCATTAACTATAGGACTCTCTTTCACGGCCCGCGTAGAAAGAGTTCCAATTCAGGGTTCAGGTTCTGGAGAAGGGCCGCACACAAATGAAAAGAGACTTGAAGAAATTCAATTTGGCGATTTGGGGGGCCAGGCGGTAGTCCAACTCTAGTGGGAGAACTACTCCCTCGCTGGCCCTGCCATCCCCTTTTATTGAGGCTTTGGGGGAAACATCTTAAGCAACATAAACAGAAATTTACATGTAGCTCTTAGGCAGGAAATAACAGAAACTTTCATGGACAAGGTAGATTCTGCTCCAGCTAACAAAATCTCAACTAAAGGTTAGAGCAATTAAGGTTGTTGACCAGCCTTCCTGGCTTCCTGTCAACATCTCTTTTTCAGTGAAACTGATTTGGTTTCCAGCAATTAACTTGTACCACAGAACCTTCTGAGAGGCCCTGGATTGGAATACCAAGAGGCCAGATTTGGACAGCATCAGAGCAAAATCCCACCAGGACTGTGAATCATAGCAGTACTATTTAATGCATGGAAATAAGCATGAAGAAACAACAAAAATGGGGAAATAAAGAAACAAGCCCCAAATGAAAGAACAGTAGGAATCTCCAGGAAAAGAGCTAAATGAAATGGAGGCAAGCAATTTGTTACAAAGAGTTCAAAGTAATGGTTTTAAGAATGCTTAACAATGTGGAAAAGGACATAGAAACCATGAAGAACAACCAGCTGGAAATGAAGAATGACATAGCTGAAATAAAAATACACTGGAAAGAATACACAATAGATTAAAGGACATGGAGGATTAAATCAGTGTATCAGAAGACCAGGTAGAAAAAAAATCAGCAGTAAAAAGAAAAAAAATAATTAAAAAGCACAAGGCTAGTTTATGGAAACTTTGAGACAATATGAAATGTAGCACTCACACCTTAGGGGTAACCTGAGAGAGTAAAGAAAGTGAGCAAGGGACAGAGAACCTGTTTGAAGAAATAATGACAGAAACCTAGTGGAACCTGGTGAAGGTAAAAGCCACACAGGTTCCAAAGCACACAGAGACGCACAGCAAGACACATCATAATTAAAATGGCAAACGTTAAGACAAAGAGAAATCTTAAGGGCAGCAAGAGACTATAAGGACCTTGCATAAAGTTGTCAGCTGGTTTCTCAACAGAAATATTATAGGTGAGAAAGGAGGAGGAGGGGATAGAGGAGAAGGTCTGGAGGGAAAGCGGGGAAGGATAGAAAGAGGAACATGGGCATGAGGAACAAAAATGGCAATAAATAATAACCATAAATGTAAATAGGTTAAATACTCCAAAAGACAGGGTGGCTGAATGGATAAAGCATGACCTATAGATTGATACACTGTCTACAAGATACCCACCTCAGAACAAAAGTGTTACACAGAATGAAAGTGAAGGCATGAAAAACTTTTTATGCAAATGGAAATGAAATAAGCTGGGATAGCAATACTTATATCTAACTCAGTCCCTAGCGGCTGCTGGTGGCTGACTGTTACTCCCTCCCTTCCCCTGGCCGGCCCCACCGCCTGGTCGAACTCCTGGACCACCTCCTGGTTGAATGGACAATTTGCATACTACATTTTTATTATATAGGATAATAGACTTTAAAATAAAGGCTATATTGAGAGACAATGAGGGTCACTATATAATACTAAAGGAAAAATACATAATACAATCCAACAACAGGATATAACCTTATAAACATATATACACCCAAAATAGGGGCACCTAAATACGTTTAAAAAACCTCTTAAAGGACTCTTAGGAGAGATATATAGCAATTCAGTCATATTAGGGGACTTTAACACCCCACAGGGTAGATCTTCCAGAAAAAAAAAAGTAAGGAAATAGCGACTTTACACACTAGATAAGGTGGATTTAGTTGATATTTATAGGACTTTTCACTCCAAAGCAGCAGAATATTCATTCTTTTCAAGTGCACATGGAACGTTCTCAAAGATAGACCACATGATAGGAGACAAAATAAGTCTCAACAAGTCCAAGAAGATTGAAATCATACCAAGCATCTTCTTGGATCACAATGGCATGAAACTATAAATCACTACAGTAAAAACACTCAAAAACATTCAAATACATGGAAACCAAATAGTATAGTATTAACAATGAATGAGTTACCAATGAGTTTAAGGAAGAAATAAAAAAGTTATTGATAACAAATGAAAAAACATATAACAACTCAAAATCTATGGGACACAGGGAAAGTAGTCCTGAGAGGGAAGTTCATGGCATTACAAGACTAACTCAAGAAACAAGAAAAATCTTCCATAAACAATCTTACCCTATCATCTATACTTATAAAAGGGTAATATGCTAATTAGACCGGGAGACCTTCTGGATGTCCTTCTGGCCAAAGCCAAGGTAGCGGAGCTGAGGCAGAAGTGGTTAGGGGTGATCAGGTCATGAGGGGAGGGCAGTTGAGGGTGAGCAGGTCGGCAGGAGGGATCAGGCCTAAATCGGCAGTTGGAAATCCCCTTAGAGGTCCCAGATTGGAGAGGGTACAGGCCATGCTGAGGAACACCCTCCACCATGCACAAATTTCGTGCACTGGGCTACTAGTTAAAAAAATTATTAGAAAAAAATAAGACAATCCCAGAGTAAGTAGAAGGAAATAATAAATATCAGAGCAGAAATAAATGGTATAGAAACTAAAAAAATAACATCCCTACAAATCAGTGTAACCAAGTGCTGGTTCGTTAAAAT